ATATGATAACTTTTATCTTTAATTTATAGTGTTATTATAAGTATTTCAGTAATGACGGTACTGAAATATATTAAGAATATGGGAAGGAGTCCACAGTGAAGTCCTTGATGGCCTTCAGTATTCCTCCATACTAGTGTCAGACTGGCGCCCATCAGTGTTACCCCCCCCCCCTGACACCCGCACGCGGCCACTCACCGGGGAATTGCAACAAAAGGTTAAAAAAAAAAAACCGAGTCAAAATTCCTGACGCAGAAAGATGACACGTAATTTTCGACAAGCTCCTTCGTACTTAGTTGGTGTTGGGGTGTCTTACTGGGTTTGGCAAGTTGTAAATAGGTATAGTACTATAGACTCGTACTCCACTTATTTCTACCGCTCAACATTGCGTTTCTTTGTGCGTCAATTCGTGATGTAGGTTTTTGAAAGCCCTTAAAATCCTGTAAGCATCATTTGGACTGAACAGATTACTTGGAAATGACGCTATTTCATGATCACGTGAAGAAAAATGGGCGGGAACCGTGGGGGATGTGGATATTTTTCCGTTTTATAATAGAAGGATGACATTGCTTCTGCACTGTATACTTTATTGTTTAATTCAGTATTTTCACTGCCGCGCATGTGTATTTTAGGAGCAGTCAATGGTTTCGGAAAGAAAATTAAGTTTGTTTTCTTTACATGTAAGAAATTTTGCTTAATTTCGTCAATAAATGGTAAAAATACAGGCAAGTAAAAGACGTAAAGTTTGTGTTCAACAAACAAAACAAGTGTAATGAAAAATGAACATATTTCTCGTTCACCTTCGTCGACCATAAAGGCTCACAATCACCCCAGGTGGGTCAAAACCCTTGATCTGGGGAGATTAACTTGATTTGAAAGTGTCGAGGGTAGATCGTGGCTCAAGTGGTGATTACCGTCATTCTGGTCTATTCAGTTTTGGGGCATTAATCGGAAACGGCACGAGAGTCGAGACCATTGGCTCAGCTGTTATTAGTGAGATCAACACATGTTTGTACAGCGTCCAGTCTACGTTTTCTATAATGCCTTGGATATAACACTTATGCAAATGTTTATGCCCTAATATATCTTTTCAGTTTCGAAGTTATATTATTCTCCCTAAAATATCATTGCGCGTGTTGTCACTGTATCACTGAGCAATTAACCTGGAAATAAATTTAATCTCTTCTACCGCCCAGGCCATTTGCGTAGTTCCAATATTTATAACACGTTGGGCGTCTCTTTCTCCAATAACATAAAACGCAAACATAGATTATATACAAGTTTCAATTATCACTTTAAATAAAACGTCATAAAAATCAAGTTCCAATGAACACAGCACTAAATAACTCGAAGGCTGACATAAGATAGTGGCTTGAAACTAACCTTAGACGTCTACCAGCAATTACGATTTCATAAATCTACCTGTAGGTTCCCTATAAATTTCATGCAACAAAGATTATTTTTATGTTTTCAAGATTTTATCCACGTGTACTGTGTCAAACCAGCATTCTAGTGGGCTCAAGTGAGGGTCAGTGACAAACAAAACTCAGTCTAGATCAAAAGCCTCTTTCTTAAATTTCCTTTGTTTATCCTAGCCCTATCTAGCTACTTAATTTCTGTTATCTTAATCATGACATTAGTATGTATTGCATTAACATGAACATATACAAATATAGAGGTGTATGGTATGCAAATCCACACACACACACAGGAACCACTCTACTCCCGAACATTATTATGCTAATGCTGGATGTAAGTCAAAAGTGGAAGCTATAGAGGGTTTTCGTTTGAATCAATTTAGTTCTTTAGTGTTCTATTCATTGCTTTTTAAACCAGCTGAGATTTACGAGATTGACGTTAGTAAGGGACGAATGTGGTGGTAATGTAAGTTACCTCTCTCTCTCTCTCTCTCTCTCTCTCTCTCTCTCTCTCTCTCTCTCTCTCTCTCTCTCTCTGCGGTGGACGACTCAGTAGCTACCCAAAGAAGATACTGTACTTAACGATCGACGCCTGAGCAGCTCTTGTTTTAGGCCTAGTACTCATTTACGCTGGAAAGCGACCGAAATTAAGATAAGACATGCATTGAATTCTTTAACTTGTCAGACTTGAAATTAGGGACGATTGAAACCAGTACAGATACTGCTGCACACAGTGTAGTTACATACGATATGAGTCAATGACAATGACAAGAATTGATACGCAGTATAGCTAGCTAAGGTGGCGACAAGTGATGAGTGGAGCTGGAACAAGTTACAGTCTGGAGGATGAAACTAGACAACTAGTAAGTTGTGACAACCGAATCCTGGACAGGTCAGGACGTGCGTGAAAATGACCCATCGGCTGAGCCAGGCTTAGGAAGCCATCTGGAATGGTCTTGGAAATTGCAGATACCTTCCCGGGCAGGGTCCAGCCTTTCAGGCAGAGGAACGACACAGAGGTAAAACATATAACGTATACGATGGTCAGAAAATCGATACAGCGAACTCTGGCAGTATGTGGTGAAACCACTGTGACGTCATCGCGCGGAAACTTAATTACTGAGACGTCACTCAGTGACGTCATTGTGATTATATAAAAAGAGAAAACTAGGAAAATATCTTCCATTTTATAAAACATTGCGCTACAAATATTTTAGCCACTTCTAACTGTTTAATATCATTGTGTTAGATTTTATTTGTTCTTTACTGAGTGTTGATATAAACCATATGTTTAACACTCGATTTGTCATTCTCTTCTAATCCTTATGAGTCAAACTGAAAAAATGGTATAAATGTGACACCCATCTGCAAATTAGTTATTTGCGTATTCATCAGAGTAGAGTAGCCCTATGTTGGAATCTCCGGAATTCCCCCTCCAACCCTGGTAAGGCCATGACCCTTTTATTAATGAATAAACTAATGTACCAGAGTTTATTGACTGGTTCACTGGAATTTCACGAATTTTGATTAACCATGGTTGGTGTTGTCAGGTAGTGGCAACCACCAACAAGTATCACTATTAGGCCCCATATTTTCCTATACAGTTTACTATAATCCTCCGCAGTGTTTGCCATGTCCATAACTGCACAGGAAAAAACACCTTTCATTCTCTATTCAATAATGTAACTTCCTAACAAAACCAATGGCCCCTCGGGCGCTCTCAGCCACCCATCATAAGTGAGATTGAACTCCGTTTGCTTCCCTGTTGGGTGCTTTACCGTAATGCTTTGAGCTTTGGCTTACACTTACACGGGATGTATGGGGGTGACCAATAAACTAGCCCCCGTGCTGCGTAGGGCGAATCTGAATGTGCCTTCCACCTAAGGAATGAAGATTCGTCCCCCCTGCCTATTTCACTTTAAGAGTAACCACCCTAACAATAAAGTAACCTAACATAACCCAACACAACATAATCTAAATTACGGTTATGGGTAAAATGCTCCAATGTCTCGAAGATGAAAATTGTCTTGTTTTTTGTCTGAACCTATAAGCAAAAAAAAAAAAAAAAAAGCATCGAATTATGTCCTGTACTACAGGTATAAATTTACCTAAACCTAACCTAACCTAACTTAACCAATTTTAATATTCAGCAATTTAACATTGCCTAGCGTACTGTAGCATAACCTAACCGAACATTTCTTCTATTTTTCCCAAGGAAAAAATATTTAAATTGGAACGTAAAACTACCTCAGAATAATGTGTTTTTATTAAACAATTTTGAGGTTCGTCAGACAGAAAAGACAGAAAAAAAATAAACTTTTTGTATTATTCTCGGAGTTCTATATAATACGTAATTTATGATATGTAAACTGTTTTTACCCATATTGTAATATCTATTGTGTACATAATATGATGAATTTTCAATAAATCAACCAAGCAATCAATCATTTCAGATCTTTACCACTGACGTATTTAAGCAAGAATAAATGAGTGAAATTCAGAATTTGGGTTCTTGATCTTTCTTCATTAAAGGAGTACACATTGGTAGACCAAAAATTCCCCAAAGACAAGAAGGCCATATCTTCGTGGGAAGGCCACTCATCATTATGGGGTGGCCATTCTACCAACTTTTTAGAAAAAGTTTTTCAATACAATCTGGGATATAAAAAGTTCACAAACGTGAGAATTACAACTGAATTAGCTTAAAGTAACAAAATTCCTCACCGTGAACAGAGAATATCGTGATAGCAGCAAAGGTGAGCTCCTGTAAGTCAAGGCTTCATCACCACTGGAATTGGATGATTAAATCAAATTTGTGGGTCAGTACAGCTGCTAGCTAGATATAGTAGTGACACACTGTAGGCCTGAACAGAGACATACAGGCCCACAGCGTGTCACAACTGTATCTAGCTAGCAAGTAGCAACTCTAGCCTGTGTCTCTGCTCTAGCTCAGTGTGTCACAACTGTCGAGAATTGCGCCACTGGACGTCAGAATGTCATATTTATCTTTCAATCATCCCGTTATAATTTGGGGTATTGTTTTACTTTCACACAACCATGGATTCTAAGGAATTTCATCTTGGCAATCAACAGTTAGACAATTCTATGATACTCTTCTGCAATATTTATATATATATAATGTGTATTGGGGGTCCAAAGAGGTAAGGTTAGGTAAGTTAATTTTTAGGTAATTTGCGAGGGGAACGTCATAGAAGAAAAATTTCTTTTAATTGTCTAAACTATTGATTATAAAGATAAAATTCCTAATATTTCATGGTTGTATGAAGGTAAAATTTTACTTGATTTGGATATCATTTTATTTATATAACCATAACTGTATTCTAAGTCCAAAATCAAGTTATAATATTTGCGTTTTATTTATTAATTTTAGGGTATAGGGTTCGAGGGAGCAGAGAACACAAGGGAGTAAAAGTCACTTTTCTAAATAATCCGATAACAAATTTAGATATATTATAAAATAATTATACTTGCAAAATCTTAAAGTAATTCAGTATTAATTAATATATTTTAGTTTATTATTCATAGTTACTCTTTTATTATTGTCCTTATTTTCTATATTTCAAGAATTAAGTGAATGCGGTGTGTTAGAATGTCAACTCGCCTCGGCCGTACAGCTGTAAAGGTTTGTCATTCTGGCTTTTCAATCACTACTCCTCTCTTATAACAGTTTGTCCATGTATATTATATTGTTACCTGATTGTAATTGTGTGCATCTTTCTCTAATATGAAATAAGCAGTTAACCATTTCTCTGAAACTTCAAATGGAAGTAGGAACTAAAATCTTCATCTAGGTTTCTTCCTTGGTTTGTCCTCTGCTACAAGTTGAAGCATTTGCATCTGTTACCTCATTTGGGCACATGATTAAGAATTATTGTTGCACAGTCAAACAGTTGAATCAAGACCAACATGGGCCATGGCTAAATTGCACCACTTTACACTTACCCTCTTTCCCACTGATTGACTTGGACGGTCGGTCACATCTCTGTTACGTACTGTTGGCAAGTACTGGGCATTTACTACAAGCTCCAGGATGTATCTAACTGTGTCACTATTGGATAAGTCTGGTCTTGAATGAGCTCACAATCAGTGCCTTTCTTATGTGAAATTTCCATGATGTAAGGTAACACCACTACCACCAGAAGTTCTTTGATTTTGTACAATTTTTTCCACATATTCTTATCAGTATAGTAAGTATTTTAAACGTAGTCGATATTTTGCCGTGACCGGCAAGTTCCTAGTAATGCTTTATTACCGTGACTGTGCTCTGATTGGCTAAATACTTTCTGTTTAATATGACGGGGTCCTGCCTCCCTGCTAGGAATTTAGGTAAGGTTAGGTAGGTTTCTTAGGTTGTTTAGGTCAGGTTCTATTATGTTCTAGTAAACGTCGCCTCTTTTATAATGATTAAAACATCTGTGGAAAAGCTAACAAAATAGAACAACTCCTGGTTAGGTGTGTTTATAGCTACACAATGATCAACATGGCGAAATAATTGCCAAATGCCGCGAGAGTCATGGTCTCACATAGTTATCTTGTTGTTAGCTGGTAATGGACAATTATCCAATCAGAGCGCTCTCATGGTGAAATAGCGTTAGTAGGACCTTCGCCGGTCATTGCAAAATATCCACTGCCTATTTTAAAAGAGGCGACATTTACTAGAACATAATAGAACCTGACCTAACCAACCAAAGAAACCTACCCAACCTTACCTAACTTCCTAGCCAGGAGGCAGGACCCCTTCATATTAAACAGAAAGTACTGTACTTTGTTGAAGCGTCATGGTGTAATTTTACGTTTTTTGTGGACATGAGAGTACGCTCGGACCAAGCTGGTTGGTTTTAAACAAACACATGGTCTCGGCAGATTTTTCGGAGGAGTATTTACAGTAAATAATTTCTTCACATACAAAGCACGCAGAAACATCATTTTTGTGACATCCAATCAATTTTCACCTTGTTTTATCCCACAATTTCTCTCATCTTTCATGCCCTCCCCACTACAAGTGATTTATGATTGTAGATAAAGAAAATCTAAAAAAAGAAAATATTTATACAGAAATTAAAATAAACATTTGTTGCCTCTTTTAGAATACTTATTATAATGATAAGAATATTTATGGACAAAATCAAACAACTTCTGGTGTTAGCTGAGTTCTCATAAATTACTGTACCAAAATTTCTACTCGGGTGAAAATCTACCCATTTTCCCAACAATATCAACAAAACGGAGGAATATGCAAGTGACAACTAGCAATATCCTTCTTATTTTAAGGTACAGTCGCATTCAAGATTCTTCGAACACTGCTGGAGATAGATGGCAACTCAAAGCTGTTTGTTTACTATAGTATATACATAGTATAATGTAATACGAAACAACAAAGTCCAACCATTAATTATGCAACAGGAAACTAAGTAAACAAACACCGATAACCTTTTACATTCATTCTTAATTTTCACTACGTACTATAGTAAACAAACAGGCTTGAGTTGCCAGCTGTCTCCAGCAGTGTTCGAAGAATCCTGAACGAGACTGTACATTTACTTATAATCAACCAACAATAAAAAAAAAAATCAGTAATTTCTGAGAACAGCACTATTACTACAGGGAGTTACCTCTGTATATAGAGGGTGTTTTCCTATTTGATCTTCACTTTAATCAATTTCAGAAGGATTCATTAACAAGAAAATGCCCAAAAAATTTCAAGGAGAGAACAGCAAAGCAGCTATTGCAAGGGCTCGAAAAGCAGATATTGCAATACAGGAAAAACAGAAGAAAGATCAGATTCAAGAAGATGCACTTTGGGAAGATAATGACAAACATATCAAAAAGAAGACTGCAAGAAAGGTAAGACTACTATATTTATTACTGTACTACACCCTGGGGTCATGGGGGCTGTACATTGGATGCCCCCGCCTTAGAAGATGTCTGAGATGAAGTGTATGGTATTTGTGAGTCTGGTTTGTTATCAAGACAATCAAGGTACAGGTATGTAAGAAGCTGTGTAGCTCACAACTCATTAAACTGCCATTATGTTGGCTCCTTTTCTTCCTCTTTTGAGGGTAATATAGCTAGTGTAGGGTGAGTAGGTTAACCATGGTTGCCTCAATATGGTACTTTTTGGGGCAAACTCTCCTGGCTTTAGGAGCTTATTTTTCATTAGTCATTCATCATTGGGTTTGTTATAAATTGGGTTTCAATGATCACTCCTATCTTTTTCTCCCTTATAAACTGTTTCCCACAGTGGCACAGGGTGGCTGGAATCAAGAACAGCTTACTGTACACTCTTCTTTAATTCACTGTCATTTGTTTTCTCAAACTGATATGAAGATACCATTCGTACAGTATAGTAATCAATAAAATGTGTTGTATTCACAGGAGGACCGTGAAAAGAAGCGTCAAGCAGAACTAGAAAGGAAAGCACTAAATCGAGCTTTAGCAGAAATTGAAGAAGTTGAAGTTAATGTTCCTCAACCTACCCCACAAAAAGTGACACAGTTCCAGTTACAGGTAAGGTTAATAGTAATAATAATTAATGTGTAAGTAGTTAATTTGACCAAGGGTAGCTGACAAAGCCGTGAGATGTTTATAAAATATAAAGTTTTGTTACTGTGAAAATCTTCAAGGAATGAATAGGGATTGAGATCAATAGATATAGCCAACTTACAAGACAAGTGAGATGTGCAGCTGCTCCTATGGTTTGAAGTGTTTGTCCCTCTTTCTTCCTCTACTGTCTGTTGCAGATAGTCCTTTGCCTCTAAAAGCCCCCTTCTCTAAGACTATATTTGCAGTAGGTTAGATTTATTAGTCATCTAGATTAATCCTTGTTTCATATATCAAGGTTTTCTGAGTCCTTGCCTGATGGTTTGATGAGTGTTATTGGTCAAGCTGCCTAGTTCCAGGCTTAGTTGTACAATGGGATCTCAGGATCATTCCTCTACAGTATTTCTTCATTGATCCATGATGTGCATTAGGTTGAAGGGCAGTCAAGAGGGTTGAGCATTCATTTAATAATAATAATAAATAATAATAAACGGTTTATTAATAGAGTTGCAGCCGGTGGCTGAAAATATACAGACTTACATTTAATTTAGACATAATGATATAATATGCATTGAATACATTTACAGGGCTGTACAGTACATAAATCAGGAGTTGTTTATTATTTTAACAATAGATGGGATGGTGCTGTTCTTATATCTATCGGTGCGGGCTCTAATGGGCTGAATTTTGTTGTAGTGGCGGACTGCACGAGTTGGGTGGGGGGCTGCAGGTGGCAGGAGGTGGCGATGGCGAGGGTGGTGCAGTAGTCCACGGCCAAACCTTTCCAGTGCTTGGTGGTGGAGGTCACTGAGGGATGGCATTTCCAGGGTGGAGAGAGCGTTGGTGTAGCCGGAGTATTCTGTGCCGAGCCTGATTCTGCAGGCCCTTTTCTGTACCTTCTCTAGCTGACGTTGTTGGGTGGAGTTGAGAGGAGACGCCCAGGCTGGTGACGCATACGTTAGTTTGGGGAGAATAAAGGCGTTGTAGATGGTCCTCAGCTCTGGCGTGGGTGTCCCAAGTGACCTAAGTCTTCGTAGCATGTAGAGACGGTACGAGGCTGCCTTGACTGTGTTATTTACATGGGCCTTCCAGTCAAGTTTGTTGTCTATAGTTACACCCAGGAGTTTGGCAGACTGCACCAGCTGGAGAGGATGGGCACCCACTGTGACTGCTGGGGCTTGCACTGGAGTGGTGGCGGTATTGATGTGCATGACTACGGTTTTGGTGTGGTTGATGGTGACCTTGTTCTCCGTAGTCCATGCCTGTAGCCTGTCCAGGGTGCCTTGGAGCGATGAGTAGTCTGGTGCGGTGTTGTCCACTGAAACCCCCACAGTGCAGTCATCCACGTACTTCCTCTCCTGAATCTGCCATTACTGTAAGATTGAAAGAAAGAATTTTCAAATTTGTGACAGATTTGCAGTTTTTTTTAACTAGTATTATTGTTTATTTTCAGAAAATCAAAGAAAAACAAACGGAACAACAATCCCGAAAAGTTGCAACAGAAGATTCCCAAACACATTTGGATGTACCTCTTGTAGAGAACCTCAATAGAACAGATGATGAAATTGTGTCTGCAAGTGGTGTTGATGCTGCAATTGCTGCCTTGAGGTATGTAGTGAGACAGGGTTCATCAATTACATAGTGAAAGGGGTAGGGGAGATAGTCTACTAATCACTTGTGTATGGGCTTTCTTCTCTGCTGAATAAAATTGTCTGGCATTGGCCAAATAAATATTGTATTAAAAGTGGCATCCCCCATAGTAAAGGGGTTAAACCATATTGAGTGCACCTAACCTGAACAAGTGTAGAAAATGGTGATTGGGATAAAAATTTAAGGCAAATCACTGCTGTGTGCAGATAACATTGCTTTGTTGGGTTATTCAGAAGAAAAATTACAACTTTTAGTGAATAAGTTTAGAAGAGCATTTTTGTTGTAGAAAGTTAATAGTGAAAGTGAACATAAAGGAAATATTAGTTTGAATGACGGAGGTGAAATGTGTCTGGTGTGGGAAATGATGTATCAGTAAGTGGAATAATGAGTGAGAGTCAGTTGCAAAATATTGGAAAGAAATAAGGTAATAGGTGCATTGAAAATTGTATGGTGAGAGAACTGTCTGTATGGGGAATTGTTGAGCTGGCATTATTTTATGTTAGTGAAGCATGGACTTTAAATGTAAGAGAGAGAAACATATATTGAAGCTACAAAAATGACGTATACTGTATAGTAGTACAGTACTTAAGAATAATTTGGGGTAAATAAGAATGTGGAAACCAAAAGAAGTGTCAGAAGGGGAAGAGTTGGCCAGGGTCTTTTAAGGTGTATATGAACATTAAGAGAATAACAGGTGAAAATTTACTGTAAAACATGGTGTAAAATTCATAGGTGGATGTTAGTGGGGAAAAAAGGTGATGGAAAGATTAGGAGTAAAGGGAGTGACAATTCAGGAAGCTCTGGGGATTTATGAGTGATAGGAAAGCATAGTGTTGATTGGTGTATGAGTAAAAGGAAGTTACAGTAGAAACAATGAATGGTTGAAGGGAGAGTCTAGTTTGCTCATGGCTTTGGCCACCAGGTAGTGCACTATAGTGGGAAAGGGCCTGGGGAAAAAAATTTATTCGCTGTCTTTTTCATTCTCTGAACATTTATTTAGTGAAAGTTGATGATACTTTTAGTATTCTACCTCATTCAAGGGAGTGGAAATAATCAGATTACTGTATACATGTACTGCAATGAATACTGTATGGCAAAAAAAAAAGAACTTGGTTCACTTATGCTGCATTCTTTCTTATTTCAGTGTACAAGATGACTCTTCTGACCGTCATCCAGAAAAGAGAATGGTTGCTGCATTTAAGGCCTTTGAAGCAGTGAGACTTCCACAGATTAAGAAAGAGAATCCTAACTCTCGGTTGTCTCAGCAGAAACAACAGTTACGGAAGGAATGGCAGAAAAGTCCTGACAATCCTATTAATAAAAGACAACTCAATCAATAACTCAGTCAAATTAATGACGACATTACCTTGGGTTATAGATTGGTTGAAGATTACTTTTCAGGTGAGTGAAGTAAAGAATATGCAAACAAATACATTAGGTGAATAAAACACTTACCCAGCTCTCTTGATTACATGGATGGTATATGCTCAAAAAAAAGTCTTCCTTTACAAGACTTTTCCAAAATATTTTTGAAACTTTTATGTTCAAGACTGGATCCTTGTACTGTGCCTGCATTTTCTATTGCCCAAGACCTAGCAAAAGTTTACAAATCGATATAACTGTCACCTAATACTAAGACTAAAAAACATATTCCCAGTCGTGTTGAGTCCCAAGGCTTGAACAGTCTTCTTACAAAATGTGAATGCATTGTTGTATTTATTAGATGTTGTCATTCATGATGTTAGTCTGCCATACCACCCTATTTCTTTGGTTGGTCCATTTATGTATTTTTCGGTGGAATCTTGATGGTCCAACAATTTTTATTCTGAAATATAAAAAAATCAGCACATTTTCAAAATATTGACATAAGTTTTAGTATCCAGAAAAATCTGAAATTTTGAACACCTGGTAGTAGTTCCTGGTGTTGTCTGTCACTGAGGTTGCCTATGTACCCAGCCCACCAAACTCTTGTTTTCCAGTTGTTGGCTGTGTAGTGTTGTGTCGTGTCTAGCAATTACATTAATAAATTCATAATTTTTCCTTTTTCATAATGGTTTCTAATAAGAGACCAATGCCCAGTTATGGGTGAAATGATGAAGATACTGTTGTAAACTAGAATGTTCTGGTTTGTTGTGACAGTGATTATTATTTGTCCAAGGAGAAGATATGGGTGAAGGATATGCTTGCTGATCACTTTAATTGCTTTATCGAGCCAGAGAGCCTCATAACTCAACAGGTTGTTCTGAATGTCTACAGGATTCATGGGAAGCTGATAAAGGAGAGGCCCAAATGATATTGCAGGAATTGTTTTTATACCAATACAAAGGGACACAACTTTACCATCCCCCCCCCCCTCTTTTATTACTTTCCATCTTTTTCCACCTCTCTACCTCCATCCCTCGTTTTCCCCACACCAATGAGGAAGTGCAGTTATTATATTCTAATGATTTCGATCAGTTACAGCTACAAGCCTAACCATTATTGCTACATAATTTAATCCATCCACTTTCTTCATCATCAGTACTGTAACAGTACTTTATTTTTGGTGGGGGGGGGGGACTGTACATAAAACAATATTGATCAATTTAGGCTGCATTAGTCTTGGTTTCTGGACCCATATACACTTTTCTACTCTGAAAACTGGACAATTCTGAGATGTTACACCTGTTTGGCCCCAACCATGCCAGATTATTGAGGCTCCACTCTTTATGTATTTGTGTATTAACTTTTCTTTTTTAATTTGCTCAGTACAGTATTACTGTTTGCTTGATGATGCTTTTAGTGTCAAATTATTTGATTTATTGCCTTGATACTAGTATCCTTAGGAGAGTATTGTCTGCAGCTATTGTTTTTGTTGGATATTACTTAAGAGATGAAGATTATAGATTATGTTGCTTTTTGATTGTGGAGGAACATAAATGTACGCTCCAAAAAGTATCTTTACGATTTCGTGTGAGACAATATAACATAACAGACGAAGAATTTTGACAACTACCGAGACAACTGGAGTCTGGTGGTCATTTTGAAATTCATTGGACCCCTCCGTAAAGATACTTTTTGGAATGAGTGTACCTCAGCCATCAAACTTAACAGTTCAGGGACATTTACAAGATTAGAGGATTACAGGATTATAATCAAGTCATTGCAGACCTTTTTGTAAATCTGTAGAATCTTGATCATAGTACTATATTGTGTCTGTTCCTTTGAGGTTTCACCCAGGGATGATAGTTTTTTTTACACCTTTTACCATATCCATTCATTGGCAAAGTTGCTAATGATAATTGATGTGTTAGTGGTCATCCTGTCTACCTGGGAAGCATCTCAGAACATGGACATTTGCTTTCATATTCTGCAGTGTATCATCAGTAAGTCTTACCCCGACTATAGAGAATAAGTAGTGTTTTTGCTGAATTTTCACTCAGTTAACCTTTAAATGGCAGCCATCATCAGTAGTAGATAGCTGTAAGGATGGCAGTGATCATCAAGGGATGTTTCATGTTCCTTGCTTTCCATTTTTTTTTAATATTGGGTGTAGGAAGGAATCCTTAATCACCAGTCCATGGTTAAAAATGTAAGTTCTAGAGGGTGAGCTCAGTGATGATTATTGTTAGGATTCATTTTTAAAGGTGATCACTATTTAAATGTAAGCCACAATAATGTAATGATCAACATAAGACTCAGAAACTGGTGGAGAAGTGTCTGTCTCTTAGAGAATGCTGTATAAATACAGTGAACCCCTGCAGTTCTGCAGACTTAATTTTAATATGATACGTCCTTTTGACCAAAAACCACCTTTGTGACCCTTAACATGGCCCATAAAAACGTAAGGCCTAAATATGATGATGAATTTAGAAGAATATGCTGTATTATAACATAAACCACTGGCTTTATCACATACCGGTACAGCATTTTACTGTTTATATTTTAAAGTGGTGGTATATCAGTATCATGTACAGTAAACCCTCGAAGATCCGGACCTGGGAAATCCGGATTTTAGAAGATCCGGACAAAAAATTTGGGGGGGTCTGGGCTAAGAAGCCTCCTAGACGTTTACCTAAGAGCATTCCCAAACCAGAGCAAAGAACATTTTAGGCCCGTGGGCGCTGCTTGACCCGTCAGTTGCTTGGACACAAGTGCCCAAGGAGGTGGGAAACTTAAACAGAGTTGACAATTGTTGTTTGTGAGAATATTATTTCATTCACTCTAGAAATGATACAATGTTTCTTATTATGTTATCATAGGTAAATGCATGGTTTATATACAGTAATTGGTTTATCACTACATTAGTATACAGTACTGTATTTTTTGGTGTTTCTTATATAATTTATTATTCACTGGAAAATCCGGACAGGTGGTCCCGGCTTTTAATCCGGATCTTTGAGGGTTCACTGCACCTCAAAATAAATGTACTACCCCCCTGTACTAACATGGTACAATATTGAGACTTCCCATAACATTTATTACAAAAGGTTACCCCATCCTTGTAATACTATTCACATTAACTTCATACATCCCTAATTATAATATTGCTTATACAGTACTTGTACTTTTGCTTATCTCTCCAAAAAGAAAAGGGTGCAGTGTTCATTAACTCTCAAGATTCATCAATTACAAAATATTTTACTTTGAGACATTTCACTACAAACAAATTCTCCATGATCCCAATTTTCAACAAACAGTGAGGAAACTTGGGTTGCAGATAACACACACGCTATCTTTTATGGTGTTGAGTTTATCTAATACAGTACAGTACTGTAATGAATAATAATAAATTCCCTTACTACTCCACTGCTTCCCTCTGGTAACAATGAGCTGCATTTAATTGATTTTCTCTAATATTTGTTTTATGTATTTACTGTACTGTACTGAACTGTACTATGTTTTTTTAATGGAATTACAAGGATGAAATTGATTGCTTTGAAGTACAGTGCATTTCCTTTTTTCAATTAATCTGAGGATTTGAAGTTTTGCATGATAGATAGGAATAACCATGAGAAACTTACAGGGTTTACTGTTCATGCCCAGTCATTATTGTAGGAAGACACAGTAAAGGTGTCCTACTGTGTTTTCTTGTTAATGGCTACAAAGTAACACAAAGCAGATATAACAAATGTTCTAAGAATAGATTAATACATATACTTGATTATATTGTATTTGGATGAATATTGGTGAGTGTTTCAAATATATTGTTTTCCTCCTTTATCAATATGTTCATTTATTTGTTTTGTGAACTTATAATAAAGTTTAAAGGATTGATAAAGTTTTCATATTTTGCTAAATTAATTTCTCATGCTAGGTTGTGTTTGGGGTTTGATAAGAAAAATTTGTAACATGATTTTAAAGTACTGTATGTTCATGATCTCAGACTGTACTGCTGTGCAATAATTGTGACAGATATATGGCCTGAAGCCTCTAAACATATGACTTGATTAATACACACTAATCCTGGCAGGTTGTAGACTTGGGTAACATTTGATTAGATTTACTCAAGGAACACTCTAAATACTGTATTCTTCCTTTCTCACAGTCACAACCAACATCCTTAAAATGGGAGAACAAGAAGCAGAGGGAGGAGATTCCCAAGCCTTGAAATCACTAGCATTTGTGTACTTCCTTAGTTATGGGTCAGCCATCATGGATCTAGGATCAGTTCTTACCTCCTTGCCATTTCCATTCATGAGCAACATGTTCAGTGTTATATTGAAACGCACAGTTTTAGGTGTTGTAATGAAAGTTAAAATTGCAATTTACCCTTCCTTTTTTACACTATCTTGCAAGTGCTGTTCAGCAAAGTTGACATTTGAATGACGGGATCTGGAGAAGACCTTCATTCAAAAGTAGGGGATACTACGTAAGTGATATCCCTGTTAGCCGGAATAATTGGTGCAGAGATCTTCCAAGGATGAAAGCTTCTGGATGACGAGACGATTCTCTCAAACCTGGAAAACCCCACATCCCTGGAATTTCCTTTTTCTCAATGTACCACTTTGCCTGCAGGTTTGTGGGGGAAAATAATTTGTCAATGTCTGCAGTGTTGCAGAATTCTAGGACCCAATTTTTAAAGCATATTTGTACTGTAAAGTATAATACCAGTGGAACATGGTTTATGGTGGAAACCTTCAGAAATACACCAGTAGACAATATAAACACTGGGAAGCACTTCCAAGATCTGGATGGTGAATCCAGAATTAATTTTGTCTTTATTGGTAATGGATTTTTTGGCTGTAATGTATTTGGACTTTCCAAATACATGGTCTAACTGTTAATACTTTAGCCCATCTTATTAATGAGGCCTCTTCTGCTAATCTTTTCCACAGAGGTGTTCAGTAACTTGTTTTAGCTGTTTTTTCTTAAATGTCCCTCGTGTTAATTAGAGGTTTCTCGGTCCATTGAGCTGGTCTAGAATTCGAGAGAAACCTTTGTTTAGGAGTTATGAATATTCTTTTATAAAGGCAACTTTATGCTCTTAGGAGAGGTAACAAGTTTGTTTCTTTAGGTCTTTTACTTTCCTGGTCAATTTTTAGGCGCTGAATCTTTTTTGTTTTATAATAGGCTTGAAGAGTTTCATTTCCAGACATAGAAACTGGATGAGGGATCTCATCATTCCCTTTCCACAGTAATAGATACAAATAGAGTCGAGAAAAGTTTGACCAGTAATCCTTAATTCTTAACCATTGATCGAAATGTCCTTTGAGGGGTTGCCTCCAGTACTATATACTGTATTATAGTGAAATCATTGACCTCACTCAACCTCATGTGCATAACCCAAGGAAAAAAGTGACTTCTTTGGTCTTCCTTTGGAGTATAGCAATGAAATTCTTTCATCAAAGAGGAGCTTGGATATTGGTAAACCTGTTCATCTCCAGATACTGTACTAATGAGTAGATAAGACTACTGGGCTGCTGGACTGTGTTACTGTACCGGGGAGCCTGTAAGAATTTTCTTTTAACCTAGTTCACAGAATAACAGGTGAGAGTCATGCTAATATGTGGAACTTCATGCCTTTCTCTTCCCTTTGTATCAGTAGCTTGAAGTATATGAGTAGCCTTATCCAATGGATATTATAATTGAGGGATTGATCCTTAAATCCCATTTTACAGTGAAGGATGGATCAGACAACTCAGATCCCTCTCTCTTCCCTTCGGGTGTTGAGGTGAGCTGGAACTGAGGAGTGTTGGAACCATTACCCAGTTTTTAACCACAGTCATGGGGAAAATGTGTATTAGTGCTGTTGGTGAGGACTCTCGGGTCTTGACCTAACTGACAAGTGATTTATCCAGCTACAGTATCCCTTCATTAGGGGCATTGGTGAGTTAGTAGATTGACTATTCCAGGTACTGTATTTGGAATATATTGTAGTCCCAGTCATGCAAGTTAGGGATCCTAGGAACCTCAAGGTATCTTCTGCCTGAAGACTTGTTGATGCAGTACTTGAGTAATCTGATGCATGTTTAGGATCCATCCCTTATTTAACCAAGTAGAATAATGTTTTCCCTCCATGTTCATTTTTCCACTAAGTTTAATCAGTTTATTCCTGTGCCTTATATCCAGAAAAAATTATTTCAAATCCATGTCCTCAGTTTTACAAACTTTATTCTTAGGTAGCCTTTACGTAGCTTAGGATTTTTAGTTAGTTTCTTGGAGGTTTCTATTTGTTTTTGTATTATTAGAACATGTTCAGATTGAAATTTAGAGCTTCTCTGGTGTCCCTGTGTTTTCTTATAATTACTGCACAGTACTAGGCAAAGAACCGACATTAGTTTGACTAAAGTTCAAGGACTTACACTGTAAAGGTCACTTTAAAAGGCATTTCATAATTTTTATTGTAAGTGATGCCAAGTACGTATTGTTAGATTGTGTCTTCCAATCGTATTTAGCACAACTTAGTCAAAAACTAACCAGGCTTTGCGTGTTACTCGAGCCTCCTGACTGTAGGCTTATTTATATAATGGAATTCTAGGATCAATCTTCCATTTATGTAATGTGAATATACTTTTAATCCATATTCCATGTATAAGTTGTGAAATTAAATGATTTTTGTAAGCAATATTATAGTCTTAAACACTTTTAGTGAGTTATCCTAATAAAATGTTCTAAAATTTTTTAGATAATTACAGTAGAACACAATTTAAAAATTATTTTCTTCGTGGACTGCTTTTTACGTTTTGTAAAATAACCTTTACTATTTTTAAAATACAAATCAACAAATATTTCCAAGTTGTCAGGCATTCATACAGTAGTGGTCTGCAGCTCAAGTGCTTGCTGAAGATTTGACATGCTTCACTTTACCCTGAGTATGGCAACAAGCAAACATACTAAAAAAACATGATACTCAGTGTTTTAGGAAATTTTACCAACTTTCATTAGTGTTAATTGTTAAAGTGATTTAAAAATTTTAGGAACATTACACCCAGTCCTGTAAAGAATTTATTCAGGATCATTATGGCATGTATTCATGTATCGAAAAAAAATTAGAACAGACACTGTGAATAAAATTGTTGCCACTTTTTTGCTAGCTGTAAATTGTTCACTCATGCCTGCAGTCTAAATGTAATGGGAGTGTTTGTCGTTGTGAGGTGAGATGAGATGATATCACATACTTTAGAGTCGAGATGAAATGTGTAGATTAAACTCTCGGAAAAATTCCCCCAGCACCCAAAAACATTCCGTGGATGTGGGATAGTGTCTGTCCGTGCGAGGAGCATAATTTAGACCCGCTGAAATTTCCCCATTGCAGGTGAACCCAGATAACTGACATTCCATTGACTGTTGATTCGTATAACCAACAATTACATATACGGGAAATACCCTGCAAGTTTTGTTGATACCTCGGAGATATGACGATCAGCAGAGCTGGCGTGGTGGGAATTCTTGCCACCAGAGCTCTGTGCACTGCCTCAGACTCATTCCCACCATCTTTGCTTTTGTTTACACTTACTATGTGTCTCTGACAATGTGTTAATCATGCCTTAACACCCTAGTGATAGTTCCTCTTGTGCTGGGCAACTTGATGTGATAAGTCATAATAAGAGTGGTAGAGACTTGAACTTGCCACCCAAGACCGTCTCTACCATCCTCAACACAGGTAAATAAATCTCAATTTATGCTTTACATTGCTTTTCAAGGCTTATTGTGCCTGGTTTATTTTCTTGCTTGACAGTGTGCAGTACAGAGATATCAAGGGTAGATGGGAGATTTTGGAGGGTGGCTGGTCCCTAACCCCATGACTTTGATATGTTCTTATGGGATTAATTGCTTAAATAACTGTTCATTCACTAACCAATGACTTTTCCCAGTCCCTATATGCGTCGGTTATCGGGGTATGCCTGTACCCGGAAAAATTCTGGGGATGTGGGATTTTTCTGGGTGAGAGAATTCTCATTACAACTGGAAATTTCTCAAACCTGGAATACAAGTTCATCATACCTCTCCACCAAATATTCCGGCTAAGGGGAAGTTTACCGTTGTAATGCGTTGAAAAAAAAAAAGGTACCGTATTTGTCTACTTTATTTGGTATGATTCTTGTGCAGGGATATAAATAATACAGTAGTACAACTTTTTTTCTTCATATATTTCATATTTAGATATCTGGTTCCTTTAACCCCACAAAATTTATTACCTATTAGAATCTTAAATCAAACCCTTTTAACACTGAGCCATTGACTTTACATTTAAATTTACAATTACCAAAACTAGAACTAACACCTTTAGTTAAATTCTCATTTCATAATAGTCTTTCAGTTTTCTTTCCACAAATATAAATCCTTATATACATCTCAAATCACTTAATTTAAGAGAAACAAAGAAATATAATAACAAAATACACTAAATGAAAGTAAAAAATAAATCACCAGGTAAATAAAATACTGTAAATTTAAAGTTTAACTTTATGGGTCTATGTATGTAACCCAGGGACCTCCTGTATATGCATACTTAACCCAAAAAGTATCTTTACAATAGTGAGAGAACTTGACACAATCCTACCCAGACAAAGGGAGTCATGGTGTTCATTTTAAAATTCATCGGACCCCTCCTTGAAGATACTTTTTGGACCAAGTGCAATTTGTATTAGATAATTTGATACAATGAACAAAAGATTTTGACAACCCTAACAAGACAACAGGAGAAAGTGTTCATTTATTGAACCCACCAATGAAATACTTTTTGATTGTGTGTGCACTTACATTTTATGAAGTTAACTGCTTAAATTGTGCTCAGGCAAGGACTAGTATCTTTTCATTGGGGGTGTATTAAGATTGTGCTCAAATCCTTTTAATTCTTTTCTTGACACTCAGATTCACATTAAAAAATTCACTCTCTCATACTCTACATTAACATAAAAGCAGCAATATTTCTTTATCCTCTTTATCACCCCCCTTTTTTTATTTTTTCCTACTTTCCTTTTATATTCCCTCTTATGTATTTTTTACACTAACTGCAATGAAATGAAACACTTTATTTATATGATATCCAAACTTACTTACATAATTCTCCTTTTATGTTACAAGTGCAATTGCTGAATTTTCTCACAATGGGAGAAAATTTGCACTGTAACATCCTGCTTTAAAATTGGAGAAAGGCACACAACAGATGGCCAAAAATTTTAATCATACTCAATCTTCTCAATCTCCTCCAATGCCTTTTTGTAAGTGCCCTTCATGGTCTTCTTCAGCTTGTATTTCCTCACCATCCTGCAAAGATTGAAATTGGGAGATTATAAGGATTTTCTTTTCTAATGCATTCTTTCAAGACTTTTCCCTCTAAAATGTAAGGTGGCATGAATCTAGAGCAAACACAAACTTTTGTTTTCTTCACAAGCATTCATTCATTCACTGCTACAACAGATATGCTCTGCTATGATGTTCCCCTTCCACAAAATGGCCCAAAATGTTTATCCCTGGTAGTGTACTTCACACACTCCACTAGTCTACCACTTCATATACAGTAAATTTGGCTTCCACCTATTACAACAAAGGTTGGCCCATGGAAAATTCCAAGACACACATTCTGTTAACAATATAGCTACCTTTCAGACACACACGTCTACATTTTATCCCTCCACCTAAATGTGAACTTTACCTAAATTAGTTTTCATTAACATTACTAGAAGTCATTTGTCTGGTCTCCATTCCCTCAACATATACTACATACCACCTTTCTTCTTCATTTATTTTATCAACAGAATACTGTATGTCATATCCCCCTTGGAGTTTTTATTCTCACTTTATTCACTGGTGAACTTAATAACCAAAATAAATAAAACATATCTCAACCATTTACAATCTACAAGACAAATTAGAGTACTGTCATTTACAAATATGAACTGCAACACTCCTTCAATAAAACTTTACTATATCCTATGGCTCCCACATTTTTTATGCTTTCACTGCATGTGCATGGGAGGCATACTAATTTACATGAGTCCACATGCCTATCAATATTCTGAAGCATCCATACTTCAGTCACACCTTTGTCTGTTGGCAAGATAGTGCAAAACATACCAAGAACAGACCAACTCATTTTTACAGTATCCTTATATGCACCTAATATTACCTAATTAGACATTAAAGTCATTTAATTAATTTCTGCCTACATGGGGCATTTGTTTCAAAATTAGTGCTTAATTCTTTACTTAGTCATGTCAATAAAATTTAATTCAAAACCAACTTGCCACCAGCACAATCATCCCTCACATCATCATACCATTCAATACATGAAAATCCCACATTAGTTCCCCTATGAATGTTCCACTCATTGTATGCACTTCTATAGTAATGGTAAGTTTAATGGTTCTATCTTTTCCACATGAAAAAAAAAATGTACACATTACAGAGCATTACAAATGCCAGTTTTCATATTTTTTAAAAAAATCTTGAGGGTATAATTTCCCATCTACTCACAACTTAATTAATTCAAGGCACTGAAACCAAAAATTCTCATAACTTATCTAAATGATTTACTGTTGTTCTACAGTTTTAAGACATCCTTAATGAACACCTATTTTCTTTCTCTTTTTTGTGTATATTTCTTAACACGTTGATGGGTCGATTCCAAAAACTCGTGTTATCGTTCTAAAGACAAAAATATTGTCATCGGCTTCAAAAACTCAGCAAGAACCTATTTATTGCTTGATTTTCATGGTTCAAGTCTTAAAATGTGCCCCATTGTCTTCCCATTCTTGCCTCACAACTGTGGTGGAGGTGAGGTGTCAGGATAACTGTCTTGTGGGTCTGCAAGCATCAATGTGTCCCATGGATATACAGTGTACAGATACTTCCTGCTCCTTCGCAATATTCACTCGTATTTTCGTATGATGGTGTTAAGATTCAACTTTGTTGTATAATAGTATTGTATAGCAATCATTTGTGAAGAAATACACATTTAAAAAATGAAATATGATGGAAAATAATGTTGGAAAAAATGCAAACATTTACGCTGCGATTGTTGTCAGCTGAGCATACCCTGCCCAATTTGGGTGTTAGAGGGATGCACCCCGTGGGCCCCCAAAAATTTTAATCTACAAATCATAAAACTCACTTGGTTGGAAGTCTGGGCTCAATCAAGTTTCTACGTTGAAGGTTCTTGAATCGTTCTTCTAATAGGTCAACAGCTGGCTTAACGTGACGCAGACAGTCGGGCAGCTCATCACCAAGGCTAACTGTTACATCTTCCTCTTCAAACCTATCACAGCACATTATAAACTGTTAAGTTACAATATATATATATGCTGTCTACACTACCTGGAAATATGTTTACAGGTATGTCATTAATGTCAGTTTACTGAATAATAAAGTATGAAAGTTTAAAGCAAAGACAAATATTCAAACTATCAAGTGTGAAACACAAACAAGCAAATAAACAAAATTAACTACTGTACTACAAACATTAGTGGCAGGTTTACCAAAAGTAGATACAGTTTAGAAAAAAGTAACTAACAACAACATTAATATATGAAGAAACAAAAACTCACCTCATTTTACCCAGGCGGAGGGTTGTAAATTTCCTTTGCTTTTGATAGGCAAGGCGGCTAACATTACGTTGATGTGTTAAATCATCTAAGTTTTCAATCTCCTTCTGGTATGTCTTGACCCTGAAAATATTTTGGAATTATATTTAGACTTGTAGTGAATACAATGTTAATCTAGAGTTGTAGAAAATTAAGAGAAATCAAAGTTTCCCCTATGCTGTAAGTAAAAAATTCACCAATACTAATATATATATATATATATATATATATATATATATATATATATATATATATATATATATATATATATATATATATATATATATATATATATATATATATATATATATATATATATATACATACTGTATTGGGTTTTTTTAATCGAGGATAGGGCTCACTGATGTCTTGTTTTGTTTCATGATTAAAATGGAAGCTATATTTTTTGCATAAATTCTACGATAGGTTTTATGACCCAAGTGAAGGATCCCCTTCACTTAACAAAGTGGCTGTGAGGAGGAAAGGGTTTATTAATGTCTTACTATATTATGGAAGAGGCTCCATCAACTAAGGCTTTATTACCACAAGAACTAACCAGTTTTAAACCAAAATTTACTGTTTATAAAATAATGTAAAATAATTATATATTTATACAGTATATGCAATTCCATATTAAAAAAAAATATTTTTTAATTAAAATAAAATAACTAAATACCCAGAATCCACATATGAATCTATTAAACTTGAAGCTTTCCTAAATATTCTATGTTCACAAACCTTTCAAACACGAAAGGTAAACAGAAACAGTTGCAGCTTTATCCATCAAATATAATTTTCAAATTTTCTCACCTGAAAACATTGCTACTTCTAATGCGTTCTTCCTTTTCTCTCAGCCTCTTAAGTTGGATTGCTTTTTGTTTTTGTTCTTTCCTTCGTTGTTTCTTAGTCTTCCTTTCAATCTTTGGTCTGTTTGTCACAGTCACCTGTTCCTCATCACCCTCCTGAAATTAAAAAGTACATACCAGTAACTACTGAGCTTTAGATCCATCTCTCACAGCCTCAACTTTATTTTTGTTTCTACATTTCATGTGCATGTTTTACTTCTGAAAACACTTAATTTCGGGAAATTCTTCAATCAATTTCCATTTGATACAAGAGGCAATTTTAAAAGTACAGTAGTTCTCATTGACCTAAAATTACTGGAGATCTTATTAAATAACCTATACCCATGGATACTCTAACTGAAGTCTGCCTTAATATTATTTGCAATCATAAACTCCATTGTCCTCTATTTGGTAATGTTCCTCCCAGTATATCCTCATAAAGATAGTGAAAGAATTCAATTTGAAGGACAAGAACTTAAATGTATCAAAAAAAAAAAATAATTCTGAAAAAAAAAAAAAATTTGGTTTTGTATGACCCATCCTTTCTTACTAGGCAGAGAGTCAAGCACAAGATAGATGACAGTTTTGAATCAAAGGACATCTTTTATTTTATCGCATGATGTCACATGAACTTATCCCAGAACACGTTACAAGTGGTACACTGAAAGGAAAAAGAAGAGATCTAAACACATTAAGGCCTCCTCCATGAGAAGATTAGGTAATGTTGTCTTGTTCTTTTGCAAATCGCTCCTATCTAAATACCCTCTTATAAGAAAAATAAGAGACGAGTTTCTGAACCCAAGAAAAGTCAGTTTTTATTACTTAAACATAATTATCCTACACTTTGAGAACCCACACAAGTCTACATCCCTCAAACCCTTCAGCAGAAGATGCACAGTAAAATAAAATACTGTAATTACAGCACAACCACTAGGAGGTAGCACAGTCGACTGTACGTAAATTACCATAAATGCTAGTGTCTATCTTGCAGCTATAGCATCCAGATTTCACAGTTTGGTATCCTATGACTGGATTTAATATCCATGCATCCAAATGATCAGTTTAATTAAATCTATCTATTAATCCTTTCTGTCTTGAAATCAAATTCAGTTGATGCTGCTCTTTCTGACTCCGGTCCGGTAATTAACTCTAGTACTGTATAAAGCTGAAAAAACAATCAAAATAATGAATTCAAGTCTCCTGAATTATTATGCCAGTACTACAATGTTTCATATCAAGTGCAACATCATGTGAAGAATATGCAAAAATTTCAAACCCTGTTTTTTTTTAGGTAAATTCTACTGTATAGTTTTCTTCACAGATACGTAAATACAACAGAGCCTTACCTCCTCTTGTTCCTCATTTTCTTCTTCATCCTCATCTCCAGCCTTTGGAAGACCTTGAGACATTTCCTCAAGCCATGAAGCCTCTGAAGGAGCTTTGTCAATAGTAGGGAACATATCAATGGTGGCACGATCTACTTTCTTAAGTTTCCTTCGTCGAGTCTCTTCCTGTGAAATTGCTTCTTGCATGAGCTTCTGATGATCATCATCATGAGGGTTGTATGAGGTTCCTTCAGGAAACAATCTTAGTGTTAGTATTTCTTTTAGACAATATATCTCGCCTCCATTCCACACTTCCAAAATACTAACCAAACCCTACCTCTTTCAACATTATAATACCGACAACATACACAAAAATGTTCATAAAATAATGTTACTACATATTAATTTATAATACGGAAGTGATCTACTATGTACAGCTCCTCCCCGACTTACGACGGGGTTAGGGACCGACATCCAGGTCGTAAGTCGGAAATGCTTAAATAATACATAGAAAATCTAAAATGGGTGTCTCTTTTTCTTCTCAGCACCACAAAACACTCACTTTTAAGCTTTCCAGCCATTTTAAAGTGAATTACAAACGAAAATTTTGTCTGTACTGACTTTGGGACTCGAAAATACGTAATTTGACCAAATTTTGGTACGGCTGAGGCAGGTCGTAAGTGCGGGTGGACTTAAGTCGAGTAGGTCGTAAGTCGGGGAGGAGCTGTACTGTATAACTAACATATTTTTAGCATTTACAATCACTTGCCACAGCTCACTAACACCAACAGTCTCACAGCTCACCAGTATTAATAGTATGTGATCTAAAATTTTTATTTATCTCCAAAGGTTTTCCTCTTATTGCTGCAAAAATCAAAACAAGGTTCTCCTTTGGTACACAAGCTAGTCCCTATGTTAAAGGGTACAGTACATGAAAAGTCACTCAAAGAACAATGCTTGATGAAAATTCAGTGGCTGCAGAACCAAGATGGTAGATAGAGTACAATGGTCTTTGTGAGAACTTGGTCACTGAGGCATGGTATAAATTAGAGTGAGGTGGTCGTTGGAATAAAGACGGCACAGAATGATTTGAATCACAAAAGGAGATGAATTAAGATGCAATGCAATTGAAATACAATGATTGTGTGTTATGCAAAGAACAGAGATGGAATATCAGTCAAATTAATCACTAAAAAAAGAAGATGCAACACAGACCAATAACAAAGAAATAGGAATGAAATATGACTGAAAATTATAAAGCGAAATGAAATTTTGAAAATATAAAATGTAATATATAAGATGCATAGAAACATATGGGACCGATCTTGAAATTCTATTTTATAGATGAGCAAGGATTGACTAACTACTAAACTTGCACTAACAGCAGGCTATAAAACAACCCTGAGAATTAGGTAAATTTTTACCAATTTTTAATTTTGGTCAAAATGTCACCAAAGGCAATTCTGATGTTAACTGATTCAGGTGATCCCTTTCATTTGTGGAAATTTCATAAGTACTGTACTGTAATAGGATAATAATTGTATACAGTACAATAATAGGCAAAAAATAACAGTGAACCACAAACAAAATTGATCAATGTACCTAACAAATCTATGAATTTACCAGATGAGAAATATAGAGGATGCTAAAAATTATGGCCAATTTTTTCCTACCTCCTTTGGGAATCTCCACAGCTTTCAGTCTAGAGACTTTATCATATCTATGCTTGGGGACCTTGACTGGCCGGATCTTTCTCTCTGTCCTGTAGTAATCAGATATACCTTTGATGAAAGATTCTTCTACACCTTTCTTCTTACATTCTTGTGAAACATTATCAGCTGAAAGAGAATCAGTTTTGTATTACAAAAAGAGAAATTGTCTCCCTTTAATATAAGCAATTTCACATAACCTTGCAATAATAACCATTGGATTACACTTAATATCATCTTACCTCCTTCTGCCCATAAATCAAATTTGTATTTATTTTTCTTGACATTCTTATATATTTCATTTTCTTTCACTTTAGAATCCTCTATTTGCTTTATTCTTTGTTGAAATCTTTTTGTTACTTTTGGATCTTTAGCTTGTACTTGTGCCTTTCTCTTCATTGCCACAGACATTGTATCTCTCTTCCCTCTGTAATTATAATTATTTTAGAAAATATTTATTTGAACTGTTAACTGTCTAGACCCCCCATCAAAAGTTCCAAAAGCTCTCTCTCAAAAGATTAACAATTAGTCATTCATTCACTATAACGAACTCAGATAAAAATACAAGCAAAAATCAAAATTACATTCAAACATAAAAACTAATAATTTACTTTATATAGTCAGGTATCCTTCACAAAGCAGCTAAAGTCACTATGTCATTGATCTAGGAACAAGATAACCTTGATATGAGAGCCTGGAATTAATCTCAATTACAGTATTTGTGACCCTTTCCTATAGCAACTATAGCCCTGAAAAGAATAATTTAGAAACCAGGGCTTTGCCCACACAGACAGTAAAGGGAGGAGATCGGTGAGCTCTGACATCACAAACACAAATGTACAAGTCGCCTATCTTTTGGCTTGTACTTGTCTTCCAAATTTTGATCCCCCATTCATTCTCACTCACACCTCACACTCAAAAGGTGGACCCCTTCATTCCGTTAATACATTTTTAAATGACTTCTTCCAAATCCTTTAAATTGAGCTAATCTGTCACCCACTGGAAGTTTCATGGCTTCTTTGGTCACACTCACCCCCCACCCCACCCGCCTTCTTCAGGAACCTGATGTAAACTTTAAATAAAACTAGGCATGCTAATAAGAGGATTTGTGAACAGTCACCTCCAGTTACAATAGGTAAGAATCACAACAATCAAGCCATTTCAAGAAATAACATGACTTAGACAACCTCCAAAGTGTGTTGATCAGAAAGTACCCATTAGAAGCTACACCACTAAATAATAAATTGAATTCCATAAAACTATCAAGAAAAATAGCAGATAAAACCAATCTATTCAAAGAATACCCTTATCTAGATGGGGAGCAATCAGCTCTTAAGTTTTTTCCTATGAGAGACACACATGAGGACCATGAAGATTCTCATAATATTATCTACAGCGATGTACTGTACTATATACAGTATACAGTACATAACATAATTAATAAGTAAAAATGTTAATGCGAGATATGACACAAAGAAATATGTTGCAATGCTTAAGAACAAAATGTAAGTGATTTTTTCATCTCCAATTTTCATCACCATGGTATAATTGGTATATCATATACGAGTACTTATGAACAAGAATGTGATGCTTAAAACAACATACAATAGATAATTACAATATACACAAAGATTATCCAAGTATTGTGTAAAGGTAACTTTTGTGATAATCATGACCAAAAGTAAAGCACAAAACTATCACTCATCATACAATAGGAAAGCATTAGATGATCACAGTTATACTGTACTAACTGTAGTTTGTGTGGTGTCTTGGCTCCTTGAAGACCATTAAGGAATTGATGAGACTTCAGAGTTTTCACGCGTCGTTTCCGACTACTTGGTTTCAGCTGAACCTTATTACTGGATCCTGAACCCCCGGCATCCTCTGGTATTTTATCCACAGTGTACTCAAAGCTAAATTCTGAATTGAAGGGTAAACAGTATTTATTAAGATACTGTACTACAACTGTACAGTATTGCATTAACCTCAGCTATAACCACCAATAATAAGAAAACTAGAAGCATCCAACAATTTAATGATGATGACTCTACTGTACATAAAGAAAAATAAAGTGAGAGGTTATGAAACAAACTCTGACCCTAACCTAGTGGTTGCTTTGAAACCCAGCACATCAAAAGGCATACCAGGACAAGCTCTGAACTAATATAGTAATACCAGACTCAGTCAAACCTTACACTACTTGTAGGATTATGTTCTGAACTTTCTCTAATTTTCCAGGTACAAGTACTGTACTATGGAATTCCATCAAGTGAGAAGAGAGATATTCCAAGTCTTTTTCTCTTTCCCGATGCCCATAAAATGGAATTTTATAAAGAAAACAATACGTTACGGTATACTTCATTTAAAACTGCAAAACCTTTCTTAAATATGCGTAACATACCTACTTGAAGTAAAAAAAATTACCACAAAGCAATAACAATTGACTTTGTACTGACTTCTTTACACAAATATTACTTAGTATATCTTACCTTCATCCTTGACGTGTGTTTTAGTAGTACTGGAATCAACTCCAGTATCCAAGAAGAGCAACTCTTTATCCTCTCTCTCTTCCAAGGGGCCACTGTGGGACACAAAACATTATTATTCTCCAATTACTGTATAAATCAGTAATTTAGCCACTACCAAAAATTTACTCCGACTGTACTTTTTGTTATTTTTAAAGGAAAGTAAGCTTTTATTTTCTTTGGAGAAATTTCCTCGAGTCGGTGCTAAGGGCACATCATGGTTGTCAAGTACTACCGAAATAAGTTTTCTTAAAAAAATATTAAAATTAAAATTAAAAAATACCTAAAGTGGTTCGTTCCCATGAGTCAGAAGTCAAAAGTATTACCATTTAATATCTATTGAGATGCAATTGTATATTGATAATCTTGAATTACAGGGGGTCCCTGGGTTTCGAATGGGTTCCGTTCTGGAGAACGTTCTTAAGTCGAAACGCAGGTTATGCGCATACCATACTTACAGAACAATGTTTAAAATCCCACTACATCATAGTCTAAGTCCTTATACACATCTAAAATCACTTAATTTAGAGAAAAGAAGAAATAGAATTACAAAATATAGTAAATCAAAGTAAAAAATAAGTCATCAGGTAAACAAAATACTGTAAATTTAAAGTTTAACTTTATGGAACCTCGTTTATATACCGTATACTGTATAATTTATTATTCATAAAATGAAACAAACTAACCTACCAAACTTGGTAAAGATTCATTTTAGTTAAACCACAGAAACTATTAACAAAAATAAGGTTTTCTAGTGTATTTTGTGTTGTTTCACATGAATCTGACCTTCATTTCCATCACAAATAAACTTTATTTTTCAAGAAAATTTACCTAACCTTACCTAACTTACTAACCAGGGGGAGGATCCTCCGCCATATTAAACAGAAAGTACTTATTTTTATATCTGGTACCAATGAAAACAACACTCTTGAAGCGTCTTGGTGTAATTTTACGTTTTTTGTGGACATGCGAGTATGCTTGGACAGAGTGGGTCAGTTGTAAACAAACATGTCAGACAACAATACTCACTGACAACAGCAGATACCTAATGTTTAAGGGTAAATATATTAAAAAATTAAACATTTACACAAGAAACATTAATCGTAAATATTGATTCACAATTAAAAAAAAATATATATTTAGGTTGGTCAAAAACACTACAATAGGAATGGGTGAAAGATGAATATTAACTCCTATGTGCTATCAAAAAGTTCAAAATACTCAAAAAATATAAATTCGCGACAGAAACGTAATACGTAGATTTAAGTATTTTTTCCTCTTTCTCCCTATATAAATACAAATGTGAAGTTCCGTGGTGTAGTTAAAACCTAACTTAAAATAATGGTTATCTTCTATAATCTTGTAAAAAATAAATAAATAAATAAATAAATAAAATAAAATCTACCCTAAGAAAGGAACTCATAGATCCATCCAGACATGATTACATTCATGCTAACCCTTTACAAGGCAGGGAGTTTCTCTCAGCTGAATAAAATAGTTTGGCTTTAGCTAGAATAAAATATTGTAATGTCTGAGAACAGCACTACCTGTACCACCAGAAGGAGCTACCTGTATTTCTTTCATTTTTGTACAGTTGTTCTTTGGATGATGGTAATAAAAACGACAACAATTTTGTTGAAGAGTCATGGAGAAATTTTACGTTTTTTGTGGCTGTGAGAGTATGCAGATATCATTTTAGCGTCATATAACAGTTTGTCACCATGTTTTACCCAGCAATTTCCATCCTTCATGCCTTGCCCACTACAGGTGATTTATGATTGTAGAGAAAAAATATAAAAATTAGGAAGTCAGGTAAGGTTAGGTAGGTTTCTTTGGTTGGTTAGGTCTGGTTCTATTAGGTTCTAGTAAACGTCGCCTCTTTTAAAATACTTACTATAATGATAAGAACATCTGTGGAGGAAAATGAACGAAATCAAACAACTCCTTCTGGAGGTAGTGCTGTTCTCAGAAATTGCCTACAATACCCTGGCGTTAGCCAGTTATAAAGTACCCAACCCAAGTGACGGGCTGCCCTCTAAAGGGTTAAGTATAAGCAAGATTACAACTGTAAGTCAGCAACATTTGAAAAAGTGTTAAGCAAACGTGGTCCATAATTTAATGGGAGGAAACTGGAAAGACACATAAATTACAATTCCTGCACTTAATTTGCAGTTTTATAGATACTGTATATGGATAAAGTTTTTCATATCTGTAAAAAAAAAATGTGGTTTAGATGTGCAAATAAATGTAATACACAAAAATGATAATTAATCTGCAAAAAAATCTATCACAATCCTACTCTCCAATTTTGCTCAAAACATGTGAAATACCCAAAACTATACATTTACCAATAATGCCAGACATGGTCCATCCACCTCTCCCGGCCATGGCTGTAAACACAGAATAACCTATATCTTACCCGTATCTCTCCTCCCTTCTTTCTTCCTCTAATGTGTCTTCTACCTCGGATATGTCTGTCTTTTTTCTCCATGCTTTCTTTTTGTTCTTATTATACCGTTTACGCTTAAGTGGGACAACTTGGTCTACTACCTCCACCATGCTGGCTTGTTTACACGTAGCGTATCAATGATGCCACATCCCCGAAATAAAAGACCATTGACTTAAGATGAGGCATCACTCTACCTGCTGCAAACAAAGTACGATGCAGTGACATATCATCATGGACTATGGCCAATATATAAGCGCAATGTGTCCGGGGATATATATTCATTTATAATGAAAATTTTCCGGAGGGATATAAAGCTTGTCCAAAGAGACTTATCAATTGGCGAATTTGGACGTGGGAACATAATCGCATGTGAGTTTTGCTCTATAAGGTAATATTTACCAATTAATTTTGTCCAAGAGTCATAATATGTCAATACATTTTATCAAATTTCTACCAGAGGTAATTTTTCACCAGCCAATTTTTCCAGGAGACAAAATAATATACAATATAATGAATAACGTCTTTATCAGTACTGCCTTTGTAACTCGAAGATGCAATTAGACTTAGTGAGTTCTTAAAAGTTCTTGTAGAATATACATACTGCCAAAGCAAGTACAGTTCTTATAGAATTTATGACGAAGCTTAACGTCGTCGAGCTTGAGGTACGTACCTTTGCTTGACAATACTGTTTTTCCTCACCCAAGTCTCTTGTTAGGGATTATATATACAAAGATAAAAATTTAATTAGTGAAGCATTTACAAACTGTCCGAAAATTAAATATTATATATCTTATATATTGTTTTAAATGTAAATTAAACATTATGTAGATATTGCTTACACTGGAGCAGGTTCAGATACATTCAGGGGCCAGTGTATACTTGCCAACAGTGCGTAATAGAAACGTGACCGATCACCCAAGCGGCTAACGAGCCGATCAATTGGAGAAGAGGATAAAAGGAAGAAAAGTTAAATTCTCTTGAAATCAGAAGACGCAGAAAAAAGCCACCATCGCTCTTACTGAAGAACCGAGGGGAGTATATTCCCTTAAGTAGGTAAATAACTACATTTTACCGCAAAATAATCAATGTGTTGCTTTGAGAACTTATCCCCAGATTTCTAAAGTTCGATGTCAGTAACCTATTGACTATATATAAATTGTTTTTATTGAATAATCTGATGTTACCACATAATATCATGTAAGGCGGGCTGGGTTTAATGTGCTTTATACTGTACGTTGCAGCCGCAAATATAAATTCATATATAACTGTTAATGATATCCAGTTCTGGCTCATTTGAAGCTGAATTTAATGTTTTTAAGGATATAACTGATTTAAAACATTAACACCCACTATATAATCACCAATTTCGTAAAATTTATGAAAAAAACATGTCATTTAATTACATGTCAGAAGCTATACCCCCAGCCATACAAATGTTCGCGGGCGATGTCAAGTTTATCCAGAGAAAACCAAAAGGATTGTGAAGAACTGCAGAGAGATTTGTAAAGAGGTGTATAACATGTCCCAAAGGGATCAACGAAACAACATTTAATGGAGACCGAATGTGAAAAGGGCCTGGGTGTGTTTGTTGACAACGAACTGAAGTTCTTGGACCATTGTGAGAAGGGGAGTCAAGCAATTAAGTTAAGTAAATCTTAGAAAAGTGAGGTGCTAAGCGGGGTTAAGCGTGGCTTAGTAGTTGACCTCCGTGATGTATGGCGGCGCTGGTTGACCCAGACCACGAGGCATACACTGGGGAATTCACGGGGTCAGCTACTCAGTGACAAACAGCGTTTGTAGGGGAGAAATCCACTACAAGGGCCACTAGACGGTGCCTGCCCTAGGCGGGCAAGGGATAACTTAATAAAAGTTTATAAATATATCAGAGAGCACTAGTCAGTCGAGTGTTCATAAAACTAAACAACATAAACAATATCAGGGATTACTACAGAATAAGAGTTGAGAGCTTTGGAGTATATTCTACTAGCGATTGGTGTGACCTTTTAAACTCAGGCTTGACCAACGCTGGAAAGTTAAAGTATACCCAACCCAAGAGGTTGTGTATACCCAGCACTTACCAACACTGTGCAACGCTAGCTAACTGATCGAGCTAGGGTTAGCTAGCGTGAGGAAAGTAAAGTAAGTTTTCATGTCTAAAAAAACACTGTAATTGTATCTGATTTTGTTACTTATTTAAATAAATAAGAAAAAATATGATACTCACAGCGTTACAGACTACTGCTATAACAATGGTTGAATATTTTTTTATTAAATGCTAGGTCACTGACATGCGCTTGATAACAACTGAAATATAGCGTTTATTGCCCTTGGATTTTTACCGGACTCACATGTGGTGTGGCCGCTGACATGTTGATAGCACATCCCTCCACTACTTACATTCCAATATATTATCATTAACAAATCGAAATGAAGAATATCTACAAGCACCATTAAAGGGCTCTGAATTTGTATATTACAGTATCCAAGCCCTTTATCAAAGAGTGAATATGTGAAATCACCCGCCAAAGTGCGCAGGTCGACAGTGTTTTGTTAACATAGTCGGTTTGTAAACAATAGAAGCACTAGCTCCCCACGGCAGGGGAGTTTAGCTGTTATTTTTATCCTATAAGCTACACAAAATGTCGACAGCTCACGAATCAAGAGGAACTATGGGTCACGGTGGATTCCATCGCTGGGTGAAGTAAGTAAGCTGATGAAGTAGGCGGTCATGAGCTGTGAGGCGTCAGTAGCATCATTTGTGCGCGCCAAGCCAGCGGCCATGGCAGTCACCCCCTAACGCAAAATCCAACACAGTCATGCCTTGTTACTGCTATTAAGCATGCTACATACCTTCTTCAGCCGATTCCATTTAAAACATATTAAAGAAAACGATTTCTTCTTATGAGAGAATAGTAATATTTGTTATTTTACCAATAGGAGATGTGAAAATGAGGCTGATGTGGAATGATGCTACTGATGTTTCTTTGGGGTCGTTTACTTGACAGTTCTCATTTAAGGAATAATTGTTTGCTAAACGGTAACCAATTATACCAGTTGGTAGTATTTGTTGATTATGGTATTAAAATACCAAGTATAGGTCAAATAAGGTGTGATATTGATCACATGGGGACCTATTTAGGCCCTGCCAATGACTTAATGCTTCTCATTGTGGTGCTGTAGTTTGAATTTTCATTCTTAATATTTCAAAATATGAAAGTACAGTATCGATAATCTGCAAAGGCTACACTTCAGACCTCATATTTCCCATTCCCTGTAATGCACTATTTAAAATGAAAATAAACTTAGGATAATATAAAATTCTCCTTATTACGACTTAATGTCAGTGAAAACACCTACGATATTCAGAGATTGTTACCATAAATCACTTACTAACAAGATTAAAATTGTAGGACATGATTATGATTAGCAAATTTCTCATATAACTCGGTTGTAATCTTCTTGCTGCTGTTTATCGTAAAAGCATTCAGTGCACAATAAATATAGTAATCTTCTATATCATCAAGTACTAGAAACATCTTATGGGCAGGGTGGTAAAATTCCTGAAGAGCTCTGCCAGTTTTTTTAATTTTCAAGAAGCTTAATATAAATAAAGATTGGGTGCTGATTTGTTTTAATGTCCCCACCAGTTTATAAAGAAAGTGTTAATATTTTGCTATTGGGATTTTAGATATAGGTTACGTTATCTTTCAACATTTTTAGAGAGACATTATTTTGGAGGTAATGTCAGAAGCTGAATTATTTACAGTAAATACTCCTCCGAAAATTCTGCCAAGTCGCTGCGTGTATTAAGTTTGTTTATAACCGACCCGCTTAGTTTGAGCTTACTCTCACGTCCACTAAAAATATTTAATTACACCATGATGCTTCAACAAAGATGCTTTCATTGGTACCAGATATCAAAATAAGTACTTTTTGTTTAATATGGCAGGGGGTCCAGGGAGCAGAGCCCCCTGATTAGGAAGTTAGGTAAGGTTAGGGTAGGTTTCTTTGGTTGGTTAGTTCTATATGTCTGACATTTTTCCATAAATGGGGATTTTCCAAAGAAAATGAAGGTCAGATTTAAACGAGTACAGCTACACCAGAAAAATATATTTCCCCATAAAAAATGAAGGGAACGTTGAAGTGAATCTTTGCCAAACAATCTGATAACATAAACATAATCTTGTATATAATTGGTGTAAAATCATGAGTGCCTTTGTTGAGACAGCTAGACTGGGAACTTTCCAGACTTGTACTACCAGATACTGATGCATTTTATAATTTATTGTTCATTCTAGGAACCAAACTAACCTACTTAGATTTTAAGCTTCTGCCTTTGGGCATTTATTGCTTTAGTATTTTGAAACAGTAAAAAAGATTGAACATACCAGTATACTGTTCTGAAAAAGTACTGTATACCGTTTCATAATTTCTCTTAACGTTAGGTTTTCAGGAATGCAACCCTATCGTTAAACGAGGGATAGCTGTATAACAATTGTTAATGAAAACTAAAATACAGGGTACACTGTAAAAATAGTTCATGTACAAATTCAATTTAGCCCTCGCAAAATGTAACAGTGAATTAAGGAAAATGGATTGTTCAATATGGGTAAAAGATTATCAAAGCACTTATCTCATAGCACTCTAGGTGCATTTCTGGAGAAAAAAATACCCAGTACATAGTAAACATACAATTTTGCGGATGAATTTGTCTTTATAAATTAAATTTAGGGACAGACTTGCCTGATTACCGGGGAAGGTTAAAATGACATTTTACAAGTGTTTATCTTTACAAACCTTGCAGTTGCCTCTTAAAGGCAACTTATTGGTTTGGACAGATACATTGAGTTAAGGATGGGGTTTCCATTCCTAGGAGGGCTTTTTGGAAGTGTCTGGCTTATGACATTCATGAATTTCTATAAACTACAGTATTGTACAGTACATTGCTATAAATTTGAAGACCCTTTTGGGGCCTCTCTTCATTATTAGGGCTTGGGTGAAGAGATAAAAGGGTGGAAGTCTTTGTGTTTAGTAATAACACATCTGCAGTGGCATAAAAAACAACAAAGGAAGGTTCTCCTAGTTCCTTTCCATTATGGGTGAATTCTAGGGCAGTACAGTACAGGGTCCCTGACTTACAAACACTGATATGAACAGGGTTAAACCTGAAATTTATGGTATTTTATTTACCTGATGACTTATTTTTTACTTACATTTACTGTATTTTGTCATTCTATTTCTTCTTTTGTCTTAAATGAAGTGATTTTAGATGTATATAAGGGCTATGATATAATGGGATTTTAAACATTGTTCTGTAAGTATGGTATGCGCATAACCTGTGTTTCGACATGTACAAATCCAACTTAAGAATGTCCTCAGGAATGGAACCCGTTCATAACCTGGGGACCCCCTGTACTGTATACCGGGTATGTTTTTGCATCTCTTGTTCTCTCATGACAATGCACATTTCTGAGATGTCCATTGTCAGGGTGGATGCATTGTAGAATATCAACTACATCCAAGTGAATAGTAGATGAGATTCTTTCTCCTGGATTGATTCCTTTGTAATTTGTTCATCGGTGGACTTACTTTGGTCTTTGTACAGTAGCTATTGTCTGTTTTGCTGGATGGCTCAGGTGGAGTTAATGGCTTTTCCTAATACAGGTACAGGTGGCACTTGCATTGTGCAGGGGTTGTTTATTCTGGGGGATTAGGTTAGGTTACTGTTAAGGTGTTTAATGAGCAGGTGAAATAAGCTGGGATGCCTAATCTTTACGTATCCCAGTAAAACAATCATCCAATAATACATAAAAAAAATATTAAAACAAATAAAACAAGTACCTGTATTGACATTAAGTACTCACCATCAACAGGAAGGCATAACCACCAGATCTAAATTTCAAGCATCTCCATTTTCTCTAGCTGAGGACTTTTTATTTTTGCCATTGTCTTTTCTGAAAGAGATATCGAGTTCTTTATTATGTTGGCATTGTTCTGAATGGCACATATTGTTCTTTCCCCATGGCCAAATGCACAAGTGTGAATGCACCAATACCTGCTTCATCTTGCCATGATGTTTCCAGCTTTGTTTCTAATGTTAAAGCAGTCCTTTAATGCTTCAGTGTTGGATAAATAGAGAGGTTGCTTGATGACATTACTCAAGTCATCAGTAAGGCAAACCCACACCCTACAAGGTGAGCTGATAGTAGTGTAGGTTTGCACATATTTATGTTTCCTCCTGGCTACAAATAATCCCACAGCTGAAGCAACTCTGAAGCACTGTATCTGTATACAGTACTAATGTATCCCATTTGGCTGCGCAGGGTGTGGTTTTTCCCTTCCGAAACAACTTTTGTCCAAATCCTTTTCAGCTTCCTTCTCTGACATTGACTGGAAGCAAACTCCCCATTGGGGATGCACATTACACAGCACTTAACCTCTCTTTGGTCACTCATTACCGGCTTCTCATTGTAATTGATATCTTGCTCTTGAATTCCCATTGCAGGAGGTCCCCGGGTTATGGACGGGTTTTGTTCCTGAGGACGTTCTTAAGTTGGAACACATGCTATGTGCATACCGTACTTACAGAACAATGTTTAAAATCCCACTATATCATAACTTAAATCCTTATATACATCTAAAATCACTTAATTTATGTCAAAATACAGAAAATGAAAGAAAAAACAAGTCATCGGGTAAATAAAATACATGTACAGTACAGTACTGTAAATTTCAAGTTTAACTCCGTTTGTATCAGCGGACGTTTGTAAGTCAGGAACCCCCTGAGTAATCCAGGCCCATTGCATTCCTGGGATGTCCATGGAAGTTGCATGCAATGAGAAGTTTGTTACTGTGAACCTGGTTTATGACATTGTCAAATGAGGTTTGGGTGACGGCTGTCACCTTAGGATTACCACCAGTCACCATGGCTTCGGGGTTTACTGGGAAAATCTCGAAAAAGATGGATGTGCATACTCTTAAGTCGCTTCTCACTGGTGTATCTCATTAATGTCTTTACTACAGTGAGAGGTAACTATGATCAATGAAAAATTTGATTTCAAGATTCCTCTATTAACTTCTTGTGTACGAGCTCCCCTTTGAGCTGAATAAAATTATTTGGCATTAGTTAAGTAATATATTAAAAGTGGCATTCCTGTAGTGATGGGGTTAAGTCTTGTTGCAAGTTGACTGTGGCTCTGGGAAGTACTCTACAATATTTAAGAATAATCTTCACCATCATTTAATCATTCAACATAGATTATCTTCTTCATTACGTAGGATGCTTTTCATGTACTACAGTAGTTGCAAAAGAGATTTCAGGGCTCAAAGACTTCTTTATAAATGTCTTTACTGCTTTAACATCATGCTTGTTATTAATATAATATAACTAAGTAATTTCGTATCATGTTAATTTTTTTCTCCAGATTGTCAACAGATGACTTGCCATTGATAAGACCTCCAAGACACCACATGCTTGCTCATGTGACTGGGGGTTTGAGTAATCTCTATGATGATGTAAAACAAACCAAAAAAGAAGATGCAAATGAAGTAAAAACACCATACCATGAAAGTGAAAGTTTTAAGGAAGATTCCAAGGAAAAAGTTGAAGAAGAAGAAGAAGAAGAGGAAGAAGAAGATGATGATGATGATGAAGAAGCAAACACAAAGAATGGTCATGCAGATAATGAAGACAGTGCAGATGATGTTGGTAATATAAAACCAGAAGAAAATACTAAAGAAGAAAATAATATCGAAAAGTCAGAAAAAGAAAATGATGATGGTGAAAGAGAAAATGCAGAAGATGAAAAAAAAGAAGAAAGTAGCCAGAATGAGAAGAAAGATGATGAGGGAGGAGGGGACCATAAAAAGGAAAATGAGGAGGATGAAGAAGAAGGTAAGGAAAGTTTTTCCAAACCTGAAGAAGATGACTTAGATAATGAAGATGAAGAAGAAGGTAAGAAATATTTTTGAAGGTTCTTGTTAAAGGAATTTTTTTAATGCAGTAGATATGAAATAAACGATGTCATAGCAATATGTACCACGTGGGCTTGTGTCCTGGATCTAGTGAGTATCAGAGGCATCTAGGAGAAGAGAATAATGTTACAATTGCATTCATTACAAATTATCATCTCTCTCTTTTTTTTTTCTTTTTTTGACATGGATAATATTTTGGATCCTTTTTTAGGAAACTGTTATTGGTGATAATCTGGAGCTCTTCCTGTTTTGACTAGAATAAGTTCCTTAGTTAATATGGAGGAGTTTAGTCAACTCCTTCCCAAATGAATTGTATATTATCTTTTTCAAGAAAGAGTTTATTCTCTAGACAGTGTGAGAGAGATTTAGGAAGCTAGTTTCTAAAGATCATTTAGAATTAGGTATTCTGAGTGGCAAGCTGGCTTTAAATACAAGAGTTAACCAATCCAATCATGATGGTTATAGAGAGAGGTTTGACTCTGAAATCCCAGAAACTGGGGTGGGTGATGCAGTTACCTTCTCTCCTTGGGGTATGTTAAGAAATGGGTTTACTTAGCTAGGGTTGGTCCTGATGTTACAAGGGATGGGTGAGGTGTGTACTGCTGATGTGACTGCCATGGCTCATTTATCTACAGCTTTAAATGGCAACACCTGTTTCCAAAGATTTGTGTATAACTGGGAGGTATGATTATTCTTCAGATAGTCGTAACTGGTAATGTTGAGGAATTTCTTGTGTTTTAATTGTATAACAGTAGTACACAAGTCCCTCAGTCTTGTCTTGCCTTTAGAATGAGATTTCATGATCAATTCTACATTTTTGTTGTCTCGTGTATCATGTCATCATCTCTTTTGATACTACACTGCAACTGTAAGAGATGTATTTCTCTTGTGATGTTAGTGTTCTTACTATTAATATTGTCATACTCAGGCATTTAAAATTTTTTAACACTAAAATTTTATTCTTCTGCTTTGGCAGAGACTACTCCTTACACAGATGAAGAAGGGGAATTCTCTCCAGAGAAAGAAATGCCACTTCTTGCAGGGCGATTCAAATACACTCAGGTCTTGGCAAGAGGACAGTCAGCCATAATCATCAAAGTTCTGGTAAGAATGTATAACTGGAGACATTAGAGGAGAGTAAGATTGGAGTTATCCCCTCCCCTTATGCTGCTGGATGAGTGAGTTAATGTTCTTGTTTATAGAATATTTTCTACACTTTAACTGCAACAGTTATATTGACTAAGTTAAAGGACATCTCCAAATCATAAAATGGATGAAATTTTTAAATCTGCTTTTAAAGAAGTCCACAAAAAAACCCATGATATTTAGGTGTGTCATGTAGTAAACATGGGCAATAATGAAAGTCCCATTAGGCTGTAGCTAATGATCATTTGAGATGGCAAATACTGACATTGGACTCATATTTGAGAGGGTACCAGCCAAAGAGCCTTCCAACAGTTTCAGCAAAACTTAATCAAGACTCAAAATTTTCTGTTCTTTTTAGTAGTAGCAGGGATCCTGGGTGGCACATGTTGATATTAGATACAGTATTGAAAGAGGAAATGTAAAACTGAGGCAGTAGTGTATGAGAAGTTAACAGTAAAAAGTTTATGGATGGACATTCGTAGAATGTGCATGCAGAGGAACTTACAAAGCAGTGAATTAGTCACTGCTTATCATTAGTCCACATTGAGCAATCCCATGAAACTACCAATCATAACATTATTATGGTTAGCCAGTGTTTCCTATAATGGATGAAATGGTTTAATATTTTTTTTTCTTTTTACCTTACTATAATATCAGTTAGTCATTTACTAGGTGGTTTATGTGCTCACTGAGTTGTTGGTCTAGCCTCTTAGAGCCCAGTGGACCTTCACATTAATGGTCAGGACTAATAATGAAAAAAAATCCTTTATCCATGTTTCTAAAAGGTACTGTATCCTTGCTTAGCTTAGGTTGTTATTCCCATTTAGGGCATCTGACATTCAGTTTTATTAGCAAGATTAAAGATAATCAAGTACAGGTATTGCCTTTGTCCCTCCCATGCCTTGGGGATAGGGAGGGGGCAGGGTTGGGATTTACTCAGTAAATTTGGGTATTTTAGTGGATGACTGATTGTGCTGTTGTAAACACTTCTGGGCTCAGTGACTGACATGGTTAATCAACTCTTAGAGCAGTATCTGACTTATTTGATAGACCGAGTCAGTATCTGACATGGTTGGTTTACACACTGCTCATATCTGACTCTGACATGATTGGTTGATACTGTACACTGGTCATTAACTGATATTGTTGGTTATTAAACTGTATGTGCAGTTTGGCAAGGATAATAGAATGTTTAGTTAGAATGGCATACTGTATATAATAAATGTTTGTTCAGTATTGTATGCAGCCCTTCACATATTTTTGCTTATTAAGTATGACATGCAACATAAGTCTTTTGTCTACCTAATTACAGGACACATTTCACAAGAACAGACCGCTGGCGATCAAGGTGTTGCATCGTGTTTATAAGCCCATAGGATCTCAGGAAGCTGACATTCTTTTGGAACTTCACCGAGCTGACCCATGGTTGCATGTACCCTTTGCTAGACTCTTGGTATGTTATTTTAATATGGTAGTCTAGAGCAGTTGTACGCTGAAAGTAATGAAAATTGTTATAATTCATAATGATGTGCAATATAAGCACTGAAATTTGGAAAACTTAATTTTCTTGTTAAACTATTGAAGCCTAAAAGCATCAACCATAAAGATTATATCAATTTTCTCTTTATGGATATACTGTATTAATATTTCATGGACATGATGCTTTGAATGTACAGACCCTTCCCTAGTAATGAGGGAGGGATGTGTTTAGGACAAATTTAATTGGTTCTAGATCTGTCAGGTCACTCACTAAAGAGCTGTGGCCTTAAATGAAGGATTTAAATAAGTATTATATCCCATATTATGGCTTAGGTAAAAGACCTGAGATTTCCCCCCTCCTTCTAAGGGTTAGACTAGGCATTGGATTGATTTGAGGGGCTGGAGTTTGGCAATGAGTTGTTGTGGCTTGAGCAGCACTGACACAGATTGGCCACATTTTGGGCTTGAATTGATGGAAAGTTGGGAACAGTAATAAAAATTAAATAACATTTTTTTTTTAGAATAATATTGTCTTATTGTTTTTGTTTTCTTAATTGTATTATACTGTACTAGTATTGTTATCTAATATTATTAATTAATTGCAACTGTAATATTCCAGCTTAATTTGGGGTTAAATACATTTTTTGGTCAGACTTGGCAACCTAACCACTAATTATAACCTGTCTTAGAAATTCAGTTCAGAGTTCCGAGTGAATGACCTATGAATGAAATTTTTAAATGCAACCAGTTGTAACCTGGGAACATTCTGTATAATATTACATTTAAGTTACTAATTGCAAATCAAGTTATCAACAAAAACAAATTTAATGTACAGGGTAATGTAAATTTTTATATATGTCTCATGTTTTACTGCAGAATCAATTTTTGTATGGCCCTCACTACTGTTTGGTGTTTGAGTACCTGAGCCCAACACCGCTGTACACCCATTATGATCAGCGGGACATTAGGGAAGCCACAGCCCTGCCCCACATCCGTGACTTAACAGTAAAACTCCTCACCGTCCTGGGTTTTCTCTACAAACAGAATGTTATTCATGCTGATCTCAAACCAGAAAATATTCTTTTAAGAAGTGGTAAGCTTTCTCATTTATTCATTGTAATGTAATATTTTCCCAATGATCTTTTATACAGTGCTAATTATACAGTATACTTAGGAGCTTGTACGAGGAATTGTATCAACTTTTATAATAATACATTTATCTTCATGCATCAACTTTTATGATATACTGTATATATTTTTAGAAATATAAGGGTATCTTTCACTTATCATTATACATTGCTGCAATATGTTTTACTGTAGTGTGATAAGGGAAGAAATTGGTTTATTTGTGCAAATTGAGGAAAAAGGAAAGGCATGCGATAGAGTAAATAGCAAAGCACCATAAGAAGAAGTGGAAGTTGTTTAATGATTCCAAAGGGTTTTTATTGGGACGGATGCATGTGCTCAGGGTTTGTTGGAAAGAGGGAACTGGTTCTAGGTAAAAGTGGGACTACGGCGTTCAGGATGTGTAGTTCCACCGTGGTTTAATATTTTCTAGCAACACGTTATAAAAGAGGTGAGAATACGAGTGATGGAGAGGGAAGCAAGGTTATTGAGTAATGATACTGGATGTAAATAGGTGACGCAGTTGCTGTTTGTAGATGACTGCTTTAATGAGTGATTTCAGAGAAAAAATTGTAAATGTTAAGTGAATGAGTTTTGAAGAGTGTGTGCCAGAAGGAAGTTGATAGTAGAATGTGAATAAAATTAATGTAATTTAAGGTAAGTAGTACTGTAGTGGAAGACAAAGCAAAATAGTGACTAAGCATTGAAGATAGAAAGTAAATGGAATGGAAGTGGTGGGGTGTTTTGGAAATCTGAAAGTAGATTTGTTAGAAAATGAAAGAATAAGTGATAAATTTAACTACTGAGTAGCAGAAGGATAGACAGTAATTGGTGTATGTATGGAAAAAAAGAACCATATCAAAGAAGGCAGAGATGGGGATATTTTGCTGACATAACATTTGGGTCTAAAAAGGGATATATCAGAATCATCAGAAGTGATGTGTTGGAGAGCAGTAGGTTAGGTGAATAGGATGCAAAGAAAATAAATTACAAAAAATATGTAGATGTGGATGTGAAAAAAAAGTGTTCGGTGAAGAGCGGGCCATCAAGTGATATTGATATTTTGAGGAATGGGAAGTGAAAAATTGGTAAAAAGATTGTACAGTACATTTCAAGGGTGGTTGGCAATATGGATAAGGGAAGACCAAGATGGAAGGATGGGATGAAAGATGCATTAAAAGTGAGGAAATAGGATGTCCGGGAAGCAGCAGTGTGAGTGAATGAGAGTAGAGCATGGCACTGATTGATTTTTGAGAGGATATGTTACTGCTTGGTAATGCTGACTTGGGTGAAGTAACTGGTGTAAACCAATTGGATATTTGGGGCCTTGTTGTCAAAGGGAGCATAATAGCAGAACACATCTGTCAAAATCGTGGGAATGATTGAAGGTAGTAGTTTAGGGTATTTACTCTATTTTTATAAACAAAATATTTTTCTAGTATATAGATATATACCTAAGTAAATTTCTATAGAGGAGGACCTGGCATCGCTGATGGTAGTGGACTTCGGGAATGCTCTACGAAATACAGATGAAGAACTCTCCCTCTATTACTCTGACTTTGAGTTGCAGACTCTACTGTACAGGGCACCTGAAGTTATATTTGGAATGAAATTCAGTTTAGAGGTAATTACAGTATAGTTGTTTTCTCCTATGAAATAAGAAAGGCATTCACCATGACGATTTTATACTGTCATATTCTCAATATTTGTCCTGTAATTTTGAAGTGTTTTAGGTGTTATGCTTTAATCCATTTTCTTTTTTAATCTAAAGGTTATAATTTTTGTACCTTAGGTGCAGTGTTCTCTCTATTATTTAATACAGTGAAACATCACTTGGTTGTGCTCACTCAGGTCAAAACCAAGTCATTAAATCCCAATTTCTAATCAAATCTGCACACACACACATGTACATTAGTCTCCCCTTGTAAAAGAAAAAATACTTCATGTTTTACTGAACTGTTGTAGCATTTAGGAAAGGTTAAGTACTACTGGTTAATAGTAAATATCAGCTATATGATACAATAGACAGGTGATACTTCTCTGAATGCAGGCATTGAAGATGCATTACAGAAACTGGTAAGCAGATTAGTGAAGAAAAAAAACTCTGAAAAGTATTAACCGAGGTTAATGTTAAAAAGGCGGGAGTAATGGTTATTTCTGAATTACAATAAATCCATAATTTAAATTAACATAGGCAACAAGTGTATGGGAAGTGTTTATGTAAGTAGGAAGTTGTAACAGCAGTTGTGAAAGAAATTGAAACAGGAGTGAGTCAACAACATTTAATACTCTTAAGAACTGTCTAAGAGGGACCTCAATTTTAGTATCAGAAGAAGGTTTCTGAAATGCAAAATTTTCCAAATTACATTCTTCAGCTAGTATTTTTTAGAATATGGATAATCTTTTTTCTTAGGTTAGTGTACCTGCAACTTTTGACTGAATCAGATTTTGACATACAGTAGAGCTTCCTGGCACTGGAGTTAGCCATCTAGGATTTCATGCGGAAAGATTGTTTGTCTCTATCTTCAAGAGGCTTTTATCTAAATCATTAGTTTCAACAAATGACCAGGACAACACTGGGGTCTGCTTTGAGCAGGGGTTTGAAAAGGCGGATGTGATGTAAGTATTGTGTTTGTGTGTGTGTGTGGAGCATACTCCCTGCAGGTGCTTGTTGTGCAGCACCTGAAGCGTCATTCTATCTCCTTCCTTTACTTCGCTTGTTTTTTTTGTTTTTTAGATGAATCTTTCGAATGGTTAAAGTTATAGATGGAAATTTTTTCTTAAAATTCATTTTGTAACCGAGCCATTGAGGAACAGGTTGGGATTCCTTCCACTTTCCTGTGATGCCCAGGATGTTTGCTGGATTGAAAGTGTGGTACAGTAGGGTCGAGATATATCGCGAGATAGGGTCCAACGATGTTTGCTATATACTAAATCGTGATATATAATTACATGTAATCAATGGGGAAAATAGGGTTAGGTTCTGGAGGCCCCCAAAACTGACTAAACTTGACTTAACGAGTTCATTTTCTTACTAACTAAAGCACCGATGAACACTAGACTCAGGAACAACAGGCTATTTCAATATCAATATCAAGGATTACTAGACTTGGCAGCTGACGCACCATCCTTGGAACACTAGACTCGGCAGCAGACGCCACACTGAAAATCCCACACCTACATAAACGAACACCAAAAATATTATTTACAGTATTAAATCTTTTCCATTAAGCTTTCCATTAACTTCACTTCACTTTTCACGTTACTGGCAACCCATTTACACTCGCTTTAGAAATTTGAATCTGCACCAGACTCGGCAGCTGACGCGCCATCCCGAGAACAACAGACGACACACTGCCACCCTCACTTAACAATCATAAATGAACAAACCAAAAATATTATTTACAGTATTAAATCTCTTCCATTAAGCTTTCCATTTTCTTCACTTCACTTTTCACGTCACTAGCAACCCATTTACACCCACCTTAGAAGTCGTAATCTGCAACAGAGTCGGCTGCTTTCTCGTCACTCACTCAGAAAGACTGAGCGGGCGAGCGTGAATGAGTGAGTGAGTAGCCGCAGTGGCGCCTCTGGTGAGCAAATAACGCATTTGTTTGCCATGGCGGTACATTTGAATTTCCTGCCCGATTTCCCTCGCGAAATAGAAATATTTATCACTACATATAGGAAAATTTCAATGATTGTGGTAGTCGCGATATAAATTTTTTTTTTTTATATATAAAGTTGCGATTGAACCCCACCCTACTGAACTACAAACTTAGTTTAACCCAGGCTGCCTTAATTTAGGGTTACTTCATCTAAATCCACCTATCTTGGGCATTGCTAGTACAGGAGTCATTACTTGATGGCTCAGTTATGTAATTGGTTTACAGGATCAAAGTTCTAGATCTGACTGAGAGCCTGTATAATAATATTGATAGTTTGTTGTTATTCTTCCTACAGGTTGATATGTGGAGTTTAGGGTGCCTCCTGGCTGAGTGCTATTTAGGTGAACCACTCTTCATGGGCAAGTCTAAGAAAGAAATTTTAAATAAGGTAAGACATAGGCTTCAATTTGCTCATTGAAGTGTCATAAAATATCTAGTGCTGTTACTTCACATGGTTATACTAAACAGTATGAATGACTGCCTAGGACAAGTGAATAACAAACTGCCAGACATAGTTTAGAATCATAGTGTCCTTGACTGTACAGTAGGATGTTAATAATTTCTTGCTTAATGAAACATTTTTGGAAACCAGAGCCAGTACACTTACACATGGTCCCTTCAGTTATTGCCATTCATTTATTCCTGTTGTAATCTGCTTTCTCCTATTGTAATCCCCTTTCACATCAAGGTCTCAAATCTGGTTTACCTATGTCACTTCTCACAATCTGGCGTCACACATCCTTCCTTGTGTACAATGATTATTCCTAATTGATTATCTCCCTCCACACACATGCACAGTAAACACCAACTTCATCATGGTATTGCATCTATGGTAAAAAGGCAGAATTGCATCCCAAGACTGGGAAATAAAAAAAACAGATGACACAGACTTATATTTATAAGGGTATATAGGTGAATGTCCCTGCCTTACACCTTAATTTTGGCTCCTAACTAATGTTACGTATTGACAATACATATGAGGTGTACATGGCTCGCCTCGCCGCAGAAGGCTTGCATCAGATTAAAGATATCCATTGTGGCACAGCATAAAATGTAATAAAAATTTTTGCCATATGTGCTCAGGTCTGAGCAACTCTGCAGTTGGGCAGGACAGATAATGTATGAAATGAGTTGCTGGGTTTGGCCAAGGCTGATCAGGGAGCTTTGCCCACCACTAGTGAGGTGTGTTGATAATGTATGATCTAGAATTACAGGAGTATGTGGGTATTGTGTGTGTTCAAGGGATTAGTGAGTGAGAAGTGGAGGACAGCTCTATATCCTGTAAGATGTGTCTTTTAATTTATTGTATGCTTTATTTGGAAATATTGTGTCAAATACTGGCAGCTGTCAGCTATTACTACCATGAGTTGCCCATTCTTATTTCTGTTTTGTATATCACTGAATTAGTCCTCATTTTATGTCTAACTGTAGTGTGTACAGTACTTAATTAATCAACATGAATATCCTAACTGTTGTAAGGAATACTTCTTATACAAGTGTTTGAGAATTTGAACTCGGGCCAGTAAGTGAGTGGGATACAGGTCTCTTGGACTCAAATGAACATACTGTATCCTATTTATGGCTTGTGGCTGGTTTGCTTATCTTTTTATTTCTGCAGTTAACACATTTGATTACCTTATGTTTAATGATTATCGTCATTCAAAATATAATTACAGTATAGTTTGAGTTGGGAACATAACTTAATTTTTCCCATACGAAGTTAACTTTGGTAGAGAACAACATGATAAAATATGAAAACATACAGAGCCTTATCTCATTTATATAGAGGCCCTACTGCATTTTAATAATTACAAAATAAATTCAGTAATATGTTAAATTTTAAATGTTGGAAATGCCTTTGAATGTATGATTAAAATTTTTTGTTTGTTATTTACTTTTTACTCGACAGATTACTGCATTGTTAGGACCATTTCCTCGGGAATTCAATGATGGTGAATATGCTGAGGAATTTTCAGATTTTATTGGTCGTCCTATGTCTAGATATCAACGCCTTGAAAATCTCCGTAAACGATTAAATGACTGTAAAGATTCTATGTTCCTCATGCTTGTAGAGAGACTTCTTACATATTTACCAGGTTAGTGTTATGTGATTTTTAATATATACTTTATATATACCCGGTATATATTTTTTTTATGGTCATGAGGCTTTCCAGGAGGCTACTGTACTGATTGTAGAAGTCACAATTTCACAAGACCAAGGCATTTAATGCCATACCCATTAATGTAGCCATACTTGGATCTTTAAGGTCTAATGAAAGGGGTGACCAGTTTTACTATAGGAGAAACACGGGTCATTTTAGCCATATTTTTAACTAAACTGCCACATTATATTATATATATATATATATATATATATATATATATATATATATATATATATATATATATATATATATATATATATATATATATATATATATATATATATATATATATATATATATATATATATATATATATATATGAAAACGTGGATAAGATGAATCTTGATAAAATCACACGGGAAAAGGGAAACAACGGAGCACCTTAGCTTTCGTCTTTATTCAAGACATCTTCAGAGGCAACATATATATACGGTAATTTAAAGACAGCATTTTGAGCATTTATAGTATTATACTCATGTTAAATGTATACAGTATATAGAGCAGAGATTTTATATATATATATATATATATATATATATATATATATATATATATATATATATATATATATATATATATATATATATATGTATGTGTGTATGTGTATGTATATATATGATATATATGGAAGTAGTTTCAGCTGTATATAGAATATTACATAGAATTAATACATGTTCTGTAATACTTTACTATACATAATTAATAGTAATATAACAATATACAGCTGAAGGCACTACTTTGTGTCCATATATATATATATATATATATATATATATATATATATATATATATATATATATATATATATATATATATATATATATATATATATATATATATATATATATATATATATATATATATATATACACACACCCCTCGTTTAACGAACACCTCGGTTAACGTAATTTCGATTAACGAACTGCCTTCCATAAGGATCTTCAATTCAGTTAACGAAAAAAAATTCGGTTTACGAAGTTCTTACGAACCAACCTCAACATGTTTTCGCTTGCACTGACCGGGCAACCAGCTTTAGTATCAGTCCGCCAATACATTAATCGGTTCTAGGGCTTAAATTCCTTACTATTTTAGAAAATATCAAGAAGTTTATACTATTCAATAATTTTAAAAGTTTAATATTCAATTTTTTAGTCATTTTAACAATTATTGAACATTATTGAAGGTAAAGTGACTAGTTTAATGCGCAGCATCCAGCCTCTTAACACAGCAAACAGGAGTTAGTCTCTCTCTGTTTTCACTGGAGGTAACATCTTGCTTGAGACTCTCTTCAACTAAACGCTTTTTTCTGTGTTTCCAAGCAAATTATTGGTCATTTTGAAATATATTTTACATATTGACAATATATAATGCAGTGCAGTGTTGATTTAAAGAAAATAATCTTGAATTACACCAAGAGAGCTAAAATTTTATGGGTGAAATGGCGCCATGGGGTGACTTCTCTTCCACCCCAATGCCTTCTCTTCTTCCTTCTCCTCCACCCCCATTCTAAATCCCATCATCATCATCCAGGAGCCTTCTACATACACACCTCAAACTAAGTGAACTTTTCTACCATTTTTGTTGAATTTAGGAAATTTTCGGTGAGCTGGAATCAATTACCCAAAAACCCATTGAAACAATGGTTTCGGTTAACGAACTTTTCGGTTAACGAACGACCTTCTGGAACGGATTGAGTTCGTTAACTGAGGGGTCACTGTATATATATATATATGATCTCTGCTCTATATACCGTATACATTTAACATGAGTATAATACTATAAATGCTCAAAATGCTGTCTTTAAATTACCTTATGTAGAAATAAATTTTGATTTGTGTTAAATAGGTTCCGTTAAGTTTTTATAAACTGACCTCCTGTGGTGCATTGGTAGTACCATATATGTATATATGTAAGCACTCCTGAGTGACTGTATGTGTTCTGATAATGAGAAAATATCTTTAAAACAAAGGCAAAAAATTTTCCCAGACTACTGCATTTAATTTTAGGGCCAAGAAGAAGTGATCTGCCTTCACCATCAATGAAAAAGTGCAAATTCAAGTTGTTTGTATGACATTAGCTAGTGTGATCCAGACTGTGTAAATATGGGATGACAGACTTAGTACTGTATCCAGTTTTGGTTATTATTCATGTAACTGTGGTTTGTTTGTATGTACAGTACAGAAATGTATGGGGATTGGTTAATGTTTATCTATATTTAAGACCTTTAACCCCTTCACTACAGGGACACCACTTTTAATATTTTATTTGTCTAATGCCAGTTAATTTTATTCAGCACAGAGAGAGCCTCATACACAAGGGGTGAAAAGATTTCTTTATTTGCAGGAAGTTATATTTTGAAAGTTAAGACTGTTCTTAAGAGCCAGGGGCACAGCTACTTTTTTCTGGTGTTAAGTTTGATTTATGCTAATTCAGTGTAGGAAGTTTTTCAAGAATGTAACTCCCCTTTATTGAGGGTATATTCCGTGTGCTGTTCATCAGGCCTGTTCTTTGTTTTTAGGAAAAAAATATTGTGATATTCTCAGAACTCCCCAACAACTCTGCAGTGAAATGCCATGATTGTTGGTATTAGTTGAGAGGAGTTACTGATTTGCAAGTAAAAGTTCATCTGAGACATTGTTTATAACAATCACAAATCTGCAAGAGTGTGAATTATGATAACAAGTCCATCCTTGATCAGGGCTGTTGATGCTGTAGCCCATTTTTTGTTTTACTCCTTGGGGGATTGCACCATCATAGACCATATATTGTTTATAGTTTAGGAGTTCTGCCTTGCACACAAGCAAGGTAATATAACAAAGACTGTTATTGTAACAGGTTAGGAAACTATATTTTCTCTCTTCAGATCGACGGTTTACTCCATTTGAGGCAGCGTGTCACCCGTTTGTGGCTTGCTCTACTCCATTTTTATACCTCACACCTTCTCCAGGTAAAGTATGCTTTATCTTTTGTGGGAAGCTTTTAACGAAGTAGGCTTTACCCTACTTGGATAAATTAGATTATGAAGATCTTGCTGTTCATACAAAATTAATTTGGGTTTCATGTGACCATTTAGTCTCTATTTAAATTAAGGACAGACAATAATTGTGCCATGGAGCAGTGTGTATTAATATGCATGGTGTATTTATTGCATTATATTAGGCAGTAACGTCAGTGGTAGGATCTTCTTAAAATTATTATTTAAGTTAGTTTTTCAGTTGTAATGCATATAAGGTATTCCTTGATATACGATAAATATTTGTTATTTCAATTGTACGATAGAAAATAATTTGCCAGTATTGTATATTATTTAAAGAAAATGAATGTTACATATGTTCAAGCAATTTGACTGCTTAGCACATGTCGTAATTACATTGTTTACAAGCAAATTAAATTTTTTAAATCCAGCTCCATGCTTCAACAGATCTCTTCAGTAATTACTTGCATTTTCCAAGCAAATTACCATTCTAGAGATGTTAGAAAAGCAACCAGCTTGTTAGATAAGTAACAGCATTACTAGGGATGCACCAGAACCCAAATTTTGAATTTTGTCCTGAACTGGAACTAGAAATTTTTTTTAGTGGGAACTTCTGCCACCGTCTGTTATTCCTCACAACATTTAGTTGAACATCTTAAGATGTTTTATATTAGAAATTTTATATTATTTTTAAGCAAACGTGCTGGCTTAGCTGCAACACATAGCAACGGTCAACACACAGGTGTCCAGTCCAATCTTTCCTTGACAGAGAGAAGAATGTTGTCAATGATTGGCTACAGAATATTTGTATTGTTCGTATGCTGTTACTAATATCTTTCCTTATATTATGTTAAATGTGTTTTGGTGGTGTGGTAAAACTAGTCTTAAAAAAAAAAGCAGGCATATCACAAATTTTGTTTAGCATTAGAATAAAAGTTTCAGTTTTGACCAGTTGTTTTCAAGGGGGAGGGGGTTCTGGTGCACCCCTAAGTAATATTCCAAGTGGTAAGATACCCCACAAATTCATGATGGTATTCATTTTATGGAAGGCTCTTGGTTGACAGATATACTTTACCATCACTGGTCACCACATGTGCAGAGTAAATTTTTCTGTGCTTCACCATTTAATGGGAAATGTAGGACTATTTTTCACATAAAGATAAGTGTCTGCTAACTTCTTTTTTCTTTAATATTGTAGTATAGAATTAAACAACAATTTATGGCACAGGGGCCCCCCAAGTTTGCGTTTTTTTGTTTCGTGGTCCTCGATTATTCGCGGATGACACCCTGGATGTACCCAAGAATGTCTGTGGCTAGTTATAAAGTTGTGTGTACACACACACACACACACACACACACACACACACACACACACACAAAACACAAACAAATAAATAAAAATTGGAAAATCCTCTCACAAGTAATCAGAAAAAATTTATGAAAAATGTGACGGTCTATCCTCATTTCCCTGCTTTATTACTTCATTAATAAAGTATGGACTCGAAATGTAGACACTCACATTTTTAATAAATTTGTTTCTGATAATTTGTGAGAGTATTTTCCCATATACACATACACAACACAGATAAGAGAAATAATTGACCTAAGGGCAAACACATAAAGGGAATACAGTATACATTTCTTTGTACACAAGTAAAAATTTATCCCCCGGTCCGCAAATGTTATTCGTGGATTTGGCGATTTGCGGCCATTTTGAGAACCTAACCCCCGCGAATTTGGGGTGCCTCCTGTATACAGTATTGCTGACTTTCTGTAATGTAATATATTAAAGGACAATAAAGTTGGGTACTTTTTCCAAATGACTTAATAATAATTTTTCTTCATACCAACAGGTTACATCAGATACCCAACTGTATTACTAGACATGTCCACTTATCCATATCTCCCTGGGCTCCCTGATGATGAAGATGAAGATTCTGCTTCAGCTCATGGTCGAAAGCGGCTAGCATTATTTTCAAGGCACAAACGATCTAATCAATCAAATGCATCTGGACAGTCTCAGAAACTAGGACAGAAAGAAAAGGATGGACACGGTCAAGCGCCTAATGCTGGATCTGGTGCTCAGAGTAATGTTGGGCCTGGCGGGAAAACAGCCACACGTTCTGATGTAAAAGAGACACTCAAATCAATGGGGCTAAGGTGTGAGGATTTCACAATTAGTGTTTACTCAAGGGAACAAGCACATGCTATACTGAGGCGACAGGGTGTAGAAGTAACACCAAATAACTTACCTTCTAGAGAAAAACTTGCTGCACTAACTGGAAAAGGAGGATATAAAAATGCTAAGTCTGTTGAAGTTCCAAAAGTAAGCCATAATATGAGACAAGGAAACATAGCAAACAGTCGGAATGCCATTGCGCACTATGATAGTGGTGATGTAGATGATGATGATGATGACTGTGTCATTTTAGACCCACCTGATATGCCAAAATGTGCCCCAAAGCTACCACAACAGTTTCAGTTAATGGGTACAACAGTACAGGTGAATCGTGGAGCTAAACGGCCTAGTAGGCCTATGACCAATCAACCCCAGGCCAAAAGACCAAATGCCAGACCTACAATGTATTATCGTAAAGATCATGAGCAAGAGTATGGTACTGAGGCATCAGTTCAAGACACTTTGAAAAGACTCAAGAATTACAACATATCTATTACATGCCGACGAAATGCATCTGGTTTAAGACCGCAAGGGGGTGCATTGGATAGTGAATCTGATATGGAAAATGAAAGCCACTTAGATTCTGACGATGAGGGAGAAGATATGACTAAATATCTTGAATGCCAGATTGGAGAAATAGAAGATATGCAGGAAGAGGAGATTTTTGACGATGACTTAGATATTGACTGTGACGACAAAGATGATGTAGATTATAATCCACGAGGTAAGAAGAGAAGGCAAAAGAGTAGAACACCCCGCAAAGGAAAGAAAACCAGTGAGTCTGGATCAACAGATAAAACTAATCGTGACTCAGGTGTAGATGAGATTCCAGAAATTGTTCCAAGTGTAGAAATGGGAGAACTGAGTGACCAACAAGCATCAAATCATTCTGAATATGATCATGATCCTCTTGCAGATGAAAGTTTTGAAAATCATAATGAATTGCAGGACATAATGGATAATGCTGCTCATTTAGAAGAGGAGGGTGAGAATAATCAGAACACAAACCAAGAAAATGATACTGAAGAGCAAGCCAATGAGGACAATCATGAGACAGAAGAAGGAACGGAAACCAATGAAGAAAATAGAACTACGGAAGAAAGTAAGGATGAAACTGAAAATATTTTGGGAGAATTTGTTGAAACGGAAGAAACTGGCTCTCCTGCACCAAAGGAGGCCACTGCACCTGATGATGAGGAAGAAATAGATGAAGAATTAGAGAAAGAGCTTCTTGGTGGAGATTTGGGGGATGGGGAAGAAGGAGAAACTGAAGAAGACTTGTAAACATGTAAGTTTTCTCTGCATTTGAAGCTTTTTCTGTGAAGGGCAATAGGTACCAAATATGAAGTCATGAGCAGGGATAAAGTGTTGTCATACCTCTCAAATGCCTGCCTTTCCCAGTATGATGTTGATGAAACTTGGTTACATTTTTCATTTGTGGATTCTGCTAGACCCTGCAGGTTGAAACATATTCAGAATTTTACAGAGCAAGACTAAGTAGAATTTTGGGCAAAGAAAGATTATTTTGTACTGTTCTGTTGTAAGAGATGTAGATATTAAAGCTGTGAGTTTTGGTTTGTGTATGAGGCCCAGAAATAATAAGATATGAGGTATTTCTTCCCCATCCTGAATTCAGTTATTTTAACTTTTCCAAAGTACAGTGAGTATAGTACTTGGTAATTTGGAATAGCAGTTATGTAAAGGGAAAATTGCAGCACCTGAAAGTACAAGGAATATGAAGAATTGGATTTGGCATGTGACTACTTTAGTGTGTTCATTTTATAGGATGTGTGAACAGACTTTGATAGAAGCTTTTGAGTTCTCATTAATTCAGTACAGTATTGGACTTCATCTCACTCGGTATAATTTTACCTCTTGCAAGTTGTTATTTTTGGTATATCATAATGCAAGGTTTACATAATATATTCTTTATTTTAACAATGCTGCTCTTGTTTTTAAAGTATCACTTACAGTTTTTATATTTGAAAGCTAAATTTTTGCCAAAGGTATATGCGTCAGCTACATACTCACGCAAGTGTCAGATATCAATTCAGGAAGTTAAGTGGTGGTGTAGTATGTTATTTTAATGTTGAAAAGTTAAAATCAATATTTTCTAACCTTTTGAATTCTTGCTTTTGGGAATCTTTTGCAAATTGATATATAAATGTGCAGATTTGATGTCTCCATATTCTTGCATGCTGTATGAAGTTGACAGAAGTCAAGGGTACCATCAGTTTGTATGATGTAGAAAATAACAAAGGCAAAATAGTTTATGAAATCAGTGGCATTATGTTAACATGGATTTAATTGATATTAAAATTATTTTGCCTGTGTTTATCCAAAATAAATTTCTTCTCCATTAATTTGATAGAACTGTCAGAGGATTTGGTCACTTCATATGAAGTTTAACAACTCAAAGTTCATTATCTTAACAATCAATCCAGAATTTTAGTTGTTTTTATGTTGGCAAAATTCCTCACAGTGACATTTTAAGTGAATAGCAAAGTCATGTTGCCATAGTCAGATCAGCAGGCTGGGTCTCTTTAAACATCATTCACATAGAAACTCAACTCTTTGCAAGAGATTAACATAGAGGGTCATAATTAGATACTAAGTATGTATAAAGTGCTAGTGTCATGTGACATAAGGTTGGTATTTAGAACATTTGTCATGCTAAGATAGTGATAGTGGATATTCTTTTACACCAGAGTTATTTAAAACCAGCCTCTTGCCAACTTCCTGTACATGTATTTGATGGAGATAATTTGAATATTGGAAAAAAAGTTGTTTACTTATCCGTGGCATTTACTGTATGTCAGTACTATAAAGCCTACTAGGTCTCTATACTGTCTGTCACATACCACATGCTTAAAAGAATTGGGCATGTCATGGGAAGATGTAAACTGGTGTAGTAGCTAAAACCCATGTCATATTGACATAATGTAAGGTTGCCCAAAAGTGATCCTTTGCCCAAAGAATCTCAGTACCTATGCTGAGATTTTTTTTGCAAAATTACATTTTGAAAATCCACTCCCCAAACTGCAAGACATACAAACCCCTTTAATTTAATATTTTTAATTACATTAGTGCATCACTAATAAGACATAAACACCAAAAATTACTATTGTCAAGTCACGGGTGGGAAGCAATTAGAATCACAAAACTAATTAAATTTTTCTGAGTCATCGGAACAGGTAATTACCAAAATTACAACCCTAGATCTTTAATTAGTATGTTGAGGGATACCTACACACTGTACTGAACTGGCATCCCTCAATATGCAATCAGTAAGTGAACAATCACATAGTGATTTCTGCTATAACGCGTGTTTTGATAACGCGAATTTGCTCTAACGCGATTTATGAATTAGGAACGATATTTGTATAACGCGAACGCTTGTTTGCTATAACGCGATTTTTGCTTACTATTTCTCCAATTTTGTGAATATAGTTAAGAAGAATATCAACAAGAAGCGTTCCGGTGATAAAATTCCTGGTGATGATCGTAAAAGAAAGGATATAACACTAGAAGAGAAGCTCGATTTTATCAACCTCAAAATCACCTTTCTCCCCCATCAAGTAAAGTGTTACATTTACTGTATGATTTCATTATTAGATATGAATGTAACATTTATTTAGACCGTGCTATCCTTTGTGTTAGGCTAACTACTAAATCTTTTCGATTTCGAGTAATCTGCACCTAACCCTATTTTCTCCATAAGCCCTGTTATTTCTATTACGCGATTTTCTATAACACGATATTTTACAAGAACACTATTATCGCGTTATAGCAGAACTACCTGTACCCATATTTTAGAATGGTCTCAATGGCACAGTATCACTATATTAAAGCAATGTACAGTAACTACCTGATAATTGTACACAACAGGTGGTCATGTGGTGTAAGAGCAGTGAATTAAAAAAACACACTTGTGATGCATGTACAGTACTGTATAATCTGTCTAATAAGACTTTTTTCCCCATAACACTCCCTGCATCTCAGGGGGATTAGTACACTGACTAAAACCAAGATGATAATATTGAAGGACAGTACTGTATCCCCAGTTATCCACCCACCTAACAAAACAAATTATAATTATCACTCCAATTGTTTATATACAGTAGTTCTTTTATTGATAAAATGTAGTCTTTTAAATAGGAGAAACACTATTTTTATATACCAAATTAAAGAATGCATAAAATTATTTATTGCATTAAGATGTAATGAATTTTTTAATGAAGTTAAATACACTTTTCATTAAATTCATTACAACTTAGGTGATCACTTAATAATGTACAGTACATCTAAAATTAAAGTTCCACGGTTTCTTGATAAGAGGTGTACTTTGTAATCTCACAGTATTCAGATTTAATTTTAGTAAATAAGCTTTCAATCACTCTCAATGGATCTTGAATGTTTCCGGTATAAGCATGCATATATATCTTACAGAAACGCCTATGCATTGTCATAATTTTAAATATACAAAGATCAAGATGAGATTTCTTAGCATTCTGAACAGACATCTCAGTACTGAGCACATCCACAGTAATGTACACAATAATCATTAGCACATACGGTCAAGATGAGAACACCAGATTTACACTGTTGGTATTCAAAACTAAATGGAGTTCGGCTACACTCCGGAGCTGCGGCTGGACTCGGTGCCCAAGAGCGAATCAGTGATCCCGCACTTGCTGGCACGTCCTTTACTTGGATATTAATCCGGCTGCATTAAAGACATTCTACCTCGGATATCTTGTACGCAGGTGGCCAACAATACTCAGTAGCAGCATTTTAAATATACAATGATCAACATTAGATTTCTTGGCATTATGAATGGACAACAGAGAAAGTGGACTTCTCAGTAGGGCACTGAAGCAGACAGAAAGCGGACATCTTAGAAGGGGAACTCGAGAAATTAGTTATAGCGACATGTTTTATGGGCTATTGAGCCTAATATGAATCATCTGATTTTACGTTAGCTAAGATGTATGACTGCTCAATACAGTAAGTCACTGTCAGGCCTTTTGTTTATTCACTATGCATGTTATATTTTTTATTTAAAATGAATACTACATCATTAAATTGATTTTATTATAAAAAGATTAATAAAAGGCTGTTTGAGTGAAAAGGTTTGGGCATAAGAAGATAACCTAGTAATTAATGTACATATTGTACAGAAACCACACTTGGATGGAGATAACAATGATAGTTTCTTCTATTAAAATGCTCTGTTACCGAATGCCAAATATAAATGTTCTCATTCCATTAACGTATCAAATGTTTTTGAAAGGGTTACTCGGCATTCTCAACCTGGGGTGCTGAAATCGAGTTTAGGGGGTGCTGGGAAAAGGCTTCTGTCAAGTGCAGTACGATACTTTAGGGCAGTTAGACTACACATAAGCACCGCATCAGGACCCTCAGAGGTAATGCTGCGGAATGGAAGCGCTGTAACTGAGAAATGTTTTGAAGACGAGACATTCATTCTGAGGTATGTTTTTTTTTTCCATCTTTCCTATAATATTTTCAGGTCATTAAATAGCTTATAGTCTTGTTAAATACCCGTGGATGCTGCAGGTAAGGAATTGAGCGATAACATGTCATAAAATGTAAAATTGTACCATGTCGCCTCAATGAAGTTGTTCAATACAGCTAGACCCCGACTTACGACGGGGTTAGGGACCCAAATCCAGGTCGTAAGTCCGACATAAAAAAAAAAAAAAAAATTAATAAAAAATCTACAATGAAATACAGTACAGTAAAAGTAATAAATAATGAGGAATGGATACAGTACAGTGAAAGTAATAAATAATAAGGAATGGATGGTGTGACTGAGCACTTACCTTTAATGTAGTCAGCTGAATGCACATGAGGCCCCCCATAATTTTCTAATTATACATGAAGACTACATTAACTGGAAACGTATCGGTATAGAAAATGCGTGTCATTTGAAAAACTTTTTTTTTTATAAAAGATCTGCGGCGGTCATAAGTCGAAGCAGTCGTAAGTCGGGGTCTAGCTGTATTACATTCTCTCAGTCACAAGTTTCGCCATGTCTTGTTTACTTTTGGCGGAGTCTGACACCCCCTCACGCTCCATGAGCACCACTTCAAATAGATTCAGACATTGAAGACCCAGATTAACCTGATTCTTTTTCATGAACAAAGTGGGGGTTAGGTCAGGTCAGGTTTTGTTGGTTGGTTGGTATTTTATTTTTGTGATTTATTTAAGAAAAAAAAACCAACTTTTTCCGTTCGAAACATCAAATACCATAGGATTTTTTTTTTTTAGTAATTTTTTTTTAGTATCAAAATAAAGTCTGGTGCAATACTACTTACTCCACCAAAAGAAAACAAGACATGGCGAAACTTGTGACGGAGCGAATGTAATAATATTAAAAAATTAATATCTCGGTTATCCTTAATTTCCGGTGGAAAGATCATAGAAGAAAAAGTCTTAGTCTTAGAAATGTCTAAACATTACGAAATACTTATTAATAACGGCGAAAGAAAGACCAGTGCATGACTATAAATTGCCCAAAAAACCATTTCATCACCAGTCTCAAATCCGTTTCGTCACCACTAACAAACCGTTGGTTGCTGGTGTAATGGCCCCTGTTTCATAAACAGAAGAATTATATAAATGGGTTAATTACATTTGATTTATATACTGATCCACCCCCTGTAGCTTTCCAGTAGCTATGAGGTGACATGTTCAGTGCATGTGATAAAGTGTGCCCACGGGAAGCCGCGTCACATTATGCTGAGTAAGGCATTAAGTAGCCGGCTCCTGGCCACCTAAAGTGGACAGTAGCTTGATATCCTTGACTAGAGGAAGATGTTATTTGAGAGCCGCTGTGGATGGCTCCGTCTTCCCTTGGGGGGGAGGATGACGTGCCTATTCCGTTCTCCCTCGATGGGTCACTACTCAGAGTCACACTCATACTCTTAACTCGAATTGACGTGATTAAACGATCTATTTACATAGCTGCCGTCCTCTCCCTTCACGCTCATAAATAGTGGAAGTTACGGTTGATCTACACTCAGGAATTATATAAACAATACTTTTTAATAAAAGTAGAAACTACAATTGGGTTTCGTTACTAAAGCCCAATATAATACAAATGTACCAATCTGGTTACCTTTAAATTAACCAGCCGGTTCACTGGTACGTATTAGAGTGACAAATTGTAAGTTATTATTTTACACGAATAGAAATTACACATGTATACAGACGACTCTACAAGTATTGTGTTAGTATTATACATAAATATTAATTATTTAATAAAGATAACAATTGAAACACTGATAAATAATCAAAATACAGAACAAATGAAGGTGATTTCTTCTTCATTAATTTGCAATTACAACTAGTTGCTGAGCACAAGCTAAAATCATGCACAAGAAAAGCAAATCCGGACAAACAAGTTCATCTCTGGTAGCTGTGGGATGAATATGAAGGAAAAAAATATCACACTTCTAATTTCCTATAAAGTTGTCAGTCTTCCAAGCTTGCACGAGTAATAACAATGTTTTTATTTATTTTTTTTTAATTTTAGTTTTTCACATTGTTTAAGTGAGATGATTGCAGGTGTATTAACGATGTTTTTATTTTTGTTTCGTTTGTCTTTAATAAATTGTTTAACTGAGATGCCGAGGGATAATTTCGTAGAACAATTTTGTAAACTAGGTGTTTTGATTATTTTCTATTCAAAGCAACAGTTATTTGGACAAATTTAGTGAAATTTTCATGCATATATTGATGTATTAATTACGTAAGAATTTTCTGGAATGTATTGCCCTTGAAATGGTGATGGGAATGAACGCGGTGATGAAATGAGCACACCCCTTTGTTTAATATGGCGAGGTCTGGGAGGGTTGGCTAGGTAGGTTTATTTGGTTGGTTAGGTCAGGTTCTATTATGTTCACTATTATTCATTTCCGACAGAAATGCATACAGATGTATTTTGAATGAATTTGACCTTCAAAATTGTTGCAAATTCATTTTTTTTAGTTATGACCCCCCTACCCCAAACAATAATGGGGGACCCTGTGGGAACCGGGGGTTTTGGGTGGCGGAAAACTAAAAAACTTGTGATTTGCGCCAGTTTTGAAGGTCAAATTCTTTCAACACATATAGGAAAAACATATTTTTCATCACTAAAATATGCATCCTAACCTAACCTAGGTAAATGATACTTTTACAACATTTTCTGGTCGGGGCAAAAAACACAAGGTTTGAAGCACTTAGGGCACAACTAAACTTAAAAATTCTAGAGATACATCCTCTTACCGGTTAAAAGGGGCCAGCAAGTCAAAATAGCGGAAATCACACCAGTTACACAAAGCCGCCATATTGCAACTAAAAATCTTTCATAGTGGACGATGGGTAATTCAAACAAAAACGAACTTGATTGGCCAGAAATGAAGCAGGTGGTATGCATTCTGAAATGGCTAATTATGATTGGTCATGGGCAAAGCAGTCCAACACATACACAACTGGATTTCTAAAAATGACAGCCGGCCACCTGATAATGGTGATATGTCAAGGTTAATTTCCTAACCAAAACTTTCGAGTGCCATAAAGTATCTTCATTATGCATTTGTGACAGAAATATCATAGAAGAAAATTGTCTTAAAATTTTCTGTAGAATTCACATATGTTGCCAGATTTATCATAAAGAATTATAGGACTAAAGTTAAATACCCAATCTTGTATACTGGTGATGAATGAGTTCGAGGTAGAGTGAAGACTTCAGTATCAAGTCAACCCTGACCCAGGCTAACATACTACTGTACAAGTATTGAAATATTTCATTAATTGTAGACACAGTATACTATGATTAATATATTACCAGTAAAAATATTGACAGCTAAAAGAGAAATCTTCCTCGAGTGTCAAACAACCCTTACTGTAACGTGAGTTATGGGTGATAAAAATGAAGATATACTAAATCAATAGAATTACAGTATCAAATGTATCTTCTATATTAGTGGCAAATGAGTGGGTTAGATTTAAGTTGGCCTAAAGATATCAACAAAATCGAAGGGATATTTCTATAGTAAGACCTTCCTCTAAATTTACACAAGATTCATGAATGGGTTTTAAAATTGGTGGTCTGATTTTGGTAAACAAGTGATTATATATATATATAAATATATATATATATATATATATATATATATATATATATATATATATATATATATATATATATATATATATATTTATTTATTTTTGGGAGTATGAATGTCCAAACACCAAATCTGTCCTCGTCCATCAACAAAATTTATCATATACTGAATGTGATGATTATTTTTTTTGACTATACTAGAAGTATTGCAGCATATTTGGAATTGCAATTATGTTAGTAGTCAACACTAATTTAACCTAGGGGCTTGCTTAGGGCACCCACCCCCTTCTCAAGAAAATGCTAGTAATATCCGTGAGCATTGCTTACGCTTCTTGAATGCAAAACGAGATAATTCCTCATGAGGGAAGCCCACGTAAAACAATCTTGAATATGGCCCAATGTCTCGTACGAGTTTCGTAAGTAGCTTATAGGTTAATGGTAACGTGGTTTAGTTTAGTCTTCTTATTTTATTTATTTACATTGATCAGCCATATTTTGAGGACTGAAGGAGCAGGCTAGTTGGTGGGACAGCACTGCTGGGAGCTCTGCTTCTGATGAGGGGAATTCATCTCTTCATCATTGAAAGATGGCTGGTGATGATAGAGTTGTTGACGAGGAATATGGCTGTTAAGTAGTAAGGGGATGGCCCATTTGTTTCTATGGTAATGTTGGTTGCCCGCTGCTAGATGCAAGATTTAACAGGTGTAAAAAAATTAATAAATAATAATGGAATCAAATGTTATTTACAATGTTTGAAAATGACAAGATCAGTAAGGCACTCATATCACCACAATACTCTCTCCACCAGGCACTTACACACCACACCATGCAATTAAACTTTTCAGCCATCATAACACACTATGAAAAAAATTATGAGATCAGGTAAACAGAATCTAGTCATGGGTAGTGCCATTACATAAGAACATAAGGAGTCTGCAATAGGCCAGATGGCCTGTGCATGGCAGCTCCTGTCGAGTTACTACCACACTCGATCATCCATGATTCTATCTAGCCTCCTTTAAAAACTCTCCAGCACTTACTACAAAGCTGCTAAGCTTGTTCCACTCGTCCACCACCTTATTTGTGAACCAGTTCCTTCCTATCTCCCTCCTAAACCTAAACTTATCTAACTTACACCCATTGCTACGAGTCCTATCCTGCTCGGATATTATAAGAACTTTATCTATATCGCCTTTATTGATTTCTTTCACCCACTTAAATACTTCTATCATATCTCCCTGCACTCTTCATCTTTCTAGGGAATGCAGGTTTAGTTTCTTTAACCTATCTTGATATGGAAGGTTTCTAAGTCCCGGAAACATTTTCGTCATTCTTCGCTGCACCGACTCCAGTGAATTGATATCCATTCTATAATAAGGGCACCAGAACTGAACTGCATAATCGAGGTGCGGCCTGACTAATGCAAGATATAGTTGCAATAAGACCTCTGCACTCTTATTACTTACACTTCTAGATATAAAACCTAATACTCTGTTTGCCTTATTTCGAACATTAACGCACTGTTTTCTAAGCCGTAGGTCCAGGCTTACAAGTGCCCCTCGGTCTCTTTCACAAGTCGACCTTGCTAGGTTGATGTTGTTAAGGCTGTTTCCGTAACTTAAAACTTGATCTTCTGTTCAGCATCCTTCTATTACTTTCTTCCTCACCTTCTCTTGTAGCAGACCCTTTCTGACAGTGATTGTGCTGCATCATATATCTTGGAAAATAAAAAAAAATCTTCAATCAGCAGGTCATTAAACTGCATTGAAATAACTAATTAGAAAATTAAATAATCAGTAAAATAGTGTCATCAAACTATTCAGTTGAACTATGCGAAATCATCATGAAGTCAATACAATATACTGTAGGTGGACAGACAGATCAAAGAATAACCCCACAAGACAATATATTACCAGAACATGAGAATAAAATATAATCAGTTTATTTAAAATAATGCCACACTTTATCAACAACTACTTACAACATTTAATTGTGTTCAGCATCCTTCCACTACTTTCTTCCTCAAAATCGGTTATATTAGACCATCTCTGCTCATAATAGGGCATCTTTTAAGGCAGCTGCATCATGTATCTTAGAAATAAAAAAAATCTTCAATCAGCAGGTCATTAAACTGTTTTGAAATAACTAATTAGAAAATTATATAATCAATAAAATAGTGTCATCAAACTTTTCAGTTGAACTATGCGAAATCATCATGAAGTCAATACAGGCACATACTGTACGTATATTTGAAGCTGCATCACAAATTTTATTTCTAATCCAAGGAGCCTGTAAATAGCGCTTCATATAGGTGGACAGACAGACCAAAGAATAACCCCACAAGACAATATATTACCAGAACATGAGAATAAAATATAATTAGTTTATTAAAAATAATGACACTTTATCGACAACAACTTACATTTAATTATGTGTTCAGCATCCTACCACTACTTTCTTCCTCAAAATCTGTTATATTAGACCATCTCTGCTCATAATAGGGCATCTTTTAAGGCAGCTGCATCATATACCTTGGAAAATAAAAAAAATCTTCAATCAGCAGGTCATTAAACTGTATTGAAATAACTAACTAGAAAAATAAATAATCAGTAAAATAGTGTCATCAAACTATTCAGTTGAACTATGCGAAATCATCATGAAGTCAATACAATATACTGTAGGTGGACATACAGACCAAAGAATAACCCCAAAACACAATATATTACCAGAACATGAGAATAAAATATAATCAGTTTATTTAAAATAATGCCACACTTTATCGACAACTACTTACAACATTTAATTGTGTTCAGCATCCATCCACTACTTTCTTCCGCAAAATCTGTTACATTAGACCATCTCTGCTCATAATAGGGCATCTTTTAAGGCAGCTGCATCATGTATCTTAGAAATAAAAAAAATCTTCAATCAGCAGGTCATTAAACTGTATTGAAATAACTAATTAGAAAATTAAATAATCAGTAAAATAGTGTCATCAAACTATTCAGTTGAACTATGCGAAATCATCATGAAGTTAATACAGGCACATACTGTACGTATATTTGAAGCTGCATCACAAATTTTATTTCTAATCCAAGGAGCCTGTAAATAGCGCTTCATATAGGTGGACAGACAGACCAAAGAATAACCCCACAAGACAATATATTACCAGAACATGAGAATAAAATATAATCAGTTTATTTAAAATAATGCCACACTTTATCGACAACTACTTACAACATTTAATTATGTGTTCAGCATCCTTCCACTACTTTCTTCTGCAAAATCGGTTATATTAGACCATCTCTGCTCATAATAGGGCATCTTTTAAGGCAGCTGCATCATGTATCTTAGAAATAAAAAAAATCTTCAATCAGCAGGTCATTAAACTGTTTTGAAATAACTAATTAAAAAATTATATAATCAGTAAAATAGTGTCATCAAACTTTTCAGTTGGAATATGCAAAATCATCATGAAGTCAATACAGGCACATACTGTACGTATATTTGAAGCTGCATCACAAATTTTATTTCTGATCCAAGGAGCCTGTAAATAGCGCTTCATATAGGTGGACAGACAGACCAAAGAATAACCCCACAAGACAATATATTACCAGAACATGAGAATAAAATATAATTAGTTTATTTAAAATAATGACACACTTTATCGACAACAACTTACATTTAATTATGTGTTCAGCATCCTTCCACTACTTTCTTCCTCAAAATCTGTTATATTAGACCATCTCTGCTCATAATAGGGCATCTTTTAAGGCAGCTGCATCATATACCTTGGAAAATAAAAAAATCTTCAATCAGCAGGTCATTAAACTGTATTGAAATAACTAACTAGAAAAAAAAAATCAGTAAAATAGTGTCATCAAACTATTCAGTTGAACTATGCAAAAAAAATCAGTAAAATAGTGTCATCAAACTATTCAGTTGAACTATGCAAAATCATCATGAAGTCAATACAATATACTGTAGGTGGACATACAGACCAAAGAATAACCCCAAAACATAATATATTACCAGAACATGAGAATAAAATATAATCAGTTTATTTAAAATAATGCCACACTTTATCGACAACTACTTACAACATTTAATTGTGTTCAGCATCCATCCACTACTTTCTTCCGCAAAATCTGAAAAAAATTTATCCAAATACTGTATTCAGTTGAACTATGCAAACGTCATACATATCCAATAAAACTAATATAACTAAGTAAAGCCAAAATACACAACAGTACTGTATTAAAATTGCTAAAGCTTGTGCGAGGTAAACTTGCTTGACACATACGCTATATTCAGCAAGTAACTTGTCTTCAAGAAAAAAAGTCACAGAAACACCTGAAAAAATAATTGCATTTTTACATAAAACAAGAATAAAAGAAAAACTTTCTTCAGTAATGTCTTCAGTGCCATGCATGTTCAACAATTACAAACCATAAGTCTGTTTTAGCCAATGCTATTTCATCACCAAGAATGAAACTCGTTTTCTTTAAAAACTATATTTAAATCACACCAACTTTCCTATATTTTTTACACAACAAAATAAAAAAATATTCAAAAGAGGATTAACAAAAGCAAATAAATCAAGCATCAACAATATACTGTATACAGTACACATCCCAATTACCTGCTAAACACCTCACACACAAAATGTATCCTGTCCCCAAGTAAGCATAGTTGCAGCACATTCTGAAAAACAAAAACGTGTTTTACATTTATCCACTAGAATAAACCAATCTAATCATTTCTTCAATGTCTTCAGGGCCATGCATGGTCAACATTACAAACCAAAGTCTGTTTTAGCCATTGCAATTTCATCACAGAGATTAAATTATATACAGTATTACCCCGCTTTAGTTTTTTGCGGTACCTTGCCAGAACCGGACTTTCACTTTCCGTTGCATTTACTCATATACGCGTGAAGTATAATTTTTTTTTATTTAGCTCATAAAATTCATACAAATTACCCGGCCAGAATATATTTACATTGCTGAATTTCTACAATATGATGATCATTTTGAATATAAACATCATGGATTTTGCATTAAACATACAAATTTTAGATCCAATGTAATAATTTGGTTTACACAAAGCAAATATTTTATCTTTTGTGCAAAATATATGACATTTACATTCAAAATATTCACTGACCTGCAAGGAATCCAGAAATGTCAATTATATTATCCTAACTTTAGTCTGAGGTATTATTTATCACTAAAAGTTAAAATCTAGTTTTTCACCCAACATTTCTCTGGTAGAAAGGGAAGGTGGGGGGGAGGGTTGGGACTGACTGACCATCTGGTGTGGTTGGAAGAGGGGGAGTACAGTAATTTTGATTGACAGATAGTGTCCAGAAGAATATTTTTTTTATTAACTGAAGATATTTGTTTTAGCTCATAAAATTCATACAAATTACTGGACCAGAATATAATTTACATTGCTCAATTTTTACAATATGATGACCATTTTGAATATAAACATCATGGATTTTGCATTAAACATACAAATTTTAGATCTAATGTAATAATTTGGTTTACACAAAGCAAGTATTTTATCTTTTGTGCAAAATATATGAAGTTTACATTCAAAATATTCCTGACCTGCAGGAATCCAGAAATGTCAATTATATTATCCTAACTTTAGTCTGAGGTATTATTTATCACTAAATGTTAAAATCTAGTGTTTCACCCAATCATTTCTCAGAGAGGTAGGGGCCAGTGAGCTGGGAAGAGGGGGTGGATTTGAGTCCATTATTTGAATGGACATTAACCTGGCGACTGTATTTCTCTTAAATATTAATTGTGTGAGCATACCATCATAAAATTAAGATGTTATTTTTACTACAACATAGGTATTGTGTCAGAAAAAGTGGAGTTTGGGGGTCAGGCCAGTCTCTATTGGAATTAATCCCATGTTCTGTTGTTCACTTTACACGGTTTTCACTTTCCGCCGTACCCTGTGGGTTCAATTGACCGCGTAAATCAGGGTACTACTGTATATATATTTTAAATCTAATATAAAATGACATCAAAGTAATTTACTGTTTAATAATTCTCAGCACAATATCTTTCTTGAAAACTTGAAATTGATACTAAGGTATTGTACCATACACTGCATATACTTACTGAAATTAGTGAAACCTTCGGTGAAGAAAGAGTAAGTTGGTTATGTATTAAACCTGAAAATAAAATAAACATATATTAATCCAAAGATTATAAAAAATAAATATAGTTCCTACATTAATAACCTTAGAATCTTCATTATCCACACAATTGTTAGGACGGGGAAAGAAGATTGAAATCATCATTGTGAAATTGCTGTGAATATTCTGAGTGCAAATCACCATTAGAGTCTTCAACCGACTTGGTCCCTAATGCAATAAAATACGACGAGAACAATCCCCATCAAAATGCCTTTACAAAATTTAATACTGTACAAACTATTCACTTAAATTTTAAGTTACAGGTACTTAATCATGAGAAGGAAAGAAGCATGTTAATAAGGCATCAATATATATAACATATATTTACTGAACACATATATTTAACTTTACCTTAAAATCATGTCTACTTTAGCAGAAATCTCATCTATGCACTTAACAGGCATACCACAACCTGCAAATAAAAACTGGGGTTACATATTTATAAACAACAAAACACACTAGTATCATATTAATAACTTCAGTGCCATGCATGTTCAACAATTACAAACCAGAAGTCTGTGTTAGCCATTGCTATTTCATCACCAAGAATGAAACTCCTTTCTTTAAAAACTATATTTAAATCACACCAAATTTCCTTTTTTTACTCAAAATGAAAAAAAAATATTCAAAAGAGGATTAACAAAAGCAAATAAATCAAGATCAACAATGTACTGTATACAGTACACATCCCAATTACCTGCTAAACACCTCACATACAAAATGTATCTTGCCCCCAAATAAGCATAGTTGCAGCACATTCTGGAAAAAAAAGGGGGGTTTTACATGTATCCACTAGAATAAACCAATCTAATCATCTCTTCAATGTCTTCAGGGCCATGCATGGTCAACATTACAAACCAAAGTCTGTTTTAGCCATTGCAATTTCATCACCAAGAGTAAATTATATATATATTTTTAAATCTAATATAAAATGACATCAAAGTAATTTTCTGTTTATTAATTCTAAGCACAATATCTTTCTTGTAAACTTGACATTGACACTAAGGTATTGTACCATACACTGTATATACTTACCGAAATTAGTGAAACCTTCGGTGAAGAAAGAGTAAGTTGGTTATGTATTAAACCTGAAAATAAAATATAATATATATTAATCCAAAGATTATAAAAAATAAATTTAGTTCCTGCATTAATAACCTCAGAATCTTCATTATCCACACAATTGTTAGGACGGGAAAGAAGATTGAAATCATCATTCTAAAATTAATTTAAACTGAAATTGTTGTGAATAATTTAACATTCTGGTTGTAAATCACCACTAGAGTCTTCAACTGACTTGGTCCCTAATGCAATAAAATATGACAAGAGAACAATCCCCATCAAAATACCTTTACAAAGTTTAATACTGTACAAACTATTCACTTAAATTTGAAGTTACGGGTACTTAATCATCAGGGAATGAAAGAAGCATGTTAATAAGGCATCAATATATAAAACATATATTTACTGAACACATATATTTAACTTTACCTTAAAATCAGGTCTACTTTAGCAGAAATCTCATCTGCGAGTTAGCAGGCATACCACAATCTAGAAATAAAAACTGGGGTTACATATTTATAAACAATAAAACATACTATTATCATATTAATATCTTCAGTGCCATGCATGTTCAACAATTACAAACCAGAAGTCTGTTTTAGCCATTGTTAATACATTGTAAGTCTAAAGCCTTAAAGGATTTTTGGCCAAAAGTACTTTTTCTCTCTGAACTAAAATTTAATGTGCCTAACTATTTAAGTACATCCAGAATAATACACAAGCACCAAGAAATGACCTCGAAAACCCATAAGTGGCGAGTAATTAGCATTGCAAAAGTAATTAAAATATTCTAAAAATCATTTGAACATTTTCTAAAAGCCATTTGAACAAGTTATAATCAAGATATCAAATTTTGGTTAACAGATCCTTAAGCAGCACATTCAGGAGTACCTATACTGAAATTTTGAACAAAATCCATTTTTGGCCGAAAATGACAAAATTGTAAGTCTATAGCCTTAAAGCATTCTCAAAATCATTTGAAAACATTTTCAAAAGCTTATTTGAACGTTATAATTAAGATATCACCTTGTTAATAGATCTTACAGCATTATTCAGGAGTACCTATACTGAAATTTCTTGAACAAAAATCCATTTTTGCCGGAAATGATTTGTGTACCAGGGGTGCTCCATAGGCTCTTTTGTATGGATTCTGGGTCAAAATATTGCTTTTCTCTGAACTAAAAATTTAATGTGCCTAACTATTTAAGTACATCCAGAATAATACACAAGCACCAAGATGACCTCGAAACCCATAAGCGGCGAGTAAATTAGCATTGCATTTCAAAATATTCTAAAAAAATCATTTGAACATTTTCTAAAAGCCATTTGAACAAGTTATAATCAAGATATCAAATTTGTTAAGCAGGATCTCAAGCAGCAATATTCTAGGAGTAATGAAATTTTGAACAAAAACTACTTTGGGCCGAAATGAAGAAAATTGTAAGTCTATAGCCCAAAGTGATTTTTTGACTAAAAATATTGCCGAACCACCTAATGTGCCCAACTATTTAAGCATATCCAGAATAATACACAAGTACCAAGAAATGACCTTTGTTCCACATATGGCGAGTAATTAGTACTGCAAAAAGCACTGAAAAATATTCAAAAATCTATTTTGAAATATTTTTCTAAAAGCTATCGGAACAAAGTTATAATCAAGATATCAAATTTTGGTTAACAGATCCTTGCTGCGCACATTCAGAAAATTATATTAGGCCTTTTAAATCAAAAATCTATTTTTTAATGAAATGACGAAAATTGTAAGTCTATAATAGCCTTAAAGGATTTTTGACCAAAAATACGTTTTCTCTGAACTAAAATTTAATGTGCCCAATCATTTGTCACATCCAAGAATAATACACAACACCCGAAGAAACGACCTCGAAACCCAGCAAGCGGCGAGTACCAGCATTGCAAAAGTACTAAAGATTCTAAAATTATTTGAAATATATTAAAAGCCATTTGGAAATTAAGTATAATCAAGATATCAAATTTGGTTAATAGATCCTTACAGCACATTCAGGAGTACCGTGATACTGAAAATTTTGAATAAAAATCACTTTTTGGCCGAAATAACGAAAAATTGTAAGTCTATAGCCTTTAAAGAACTGGACTAAAAATATGCTCTCTGAACTAAAATTTAATGTGCCTAAATTATTTAAGCACATCCAGAATAATACACAAGCTACCCAAGAAATGACCTCGAAAACCTATGGCGAGTAATATATTGGTAAAAGTAATTAAAAATATTCTGCAAAAATCATTTGAAACATTTTCTAAAAAAAGCCATTTGGACAAGTTATAATCAAGATATCAAATTTGCTAATAGATCTCCGGCCAAGTTACCATTCAGAGAACGAGCATTGGAATTTCTCTGAACAAAAAATCCATTTTTTGACCGAAATGACGAAAATTGGTAAGTCCATAGCCCAAAGGGATTTCTTAATAAAAGATGTTTTTTCTGAAACCTGGGGGTGTTTCCAATGTGCCCAACTATTTAAGTACATCCAGAATAATACACAAGCACCAAGAAATGACCTCAAAAACCCATAAGTGGCGAGTAATTAGCATTGCAAAAGTAATTAAAAAATTCTAAAAATCATTTGAACATTTTCTAAAAGCCATTTGAACATGTTATAATCAAGATATCAAATTTTGGTTAACAGATTTTTAAGCAGCACATTCAGGAGTATGTATACTGAAATTTTGAACAAAATCCATTTTTTGGCCGAAAATGACAAAAATTGTAAGTCTAAAGCCTTAAAGGATTTTTGGCCAAAAATACGTTTTCTCTCTGAACTAAAATTTAATGTGCCTAACTATTTAAGTACATCCAGAATAATACACAAGCACCAAGAAATGACCTCGAAAACCCATAAGTGGCGAGTAATTAGCATTGCAAAAGTAATTAAAATATTCTAAAAATCATATGAACATTTTCTAAAAGCCATTTGAACAAGTTATAATCAAGATATCACATTTTGGTTAAGAGATCCTTAAGCAGCACATTCAAGAGTACCTATACTGAAATTTTGAACAAAATCCATTTTTTGCCAAAAATGGTAAGTCTAAGCCTTAAAGGATTTTTGGCCAAAAATACTTTTTCTCTCTGAACTAAAATTTAATGTGCCTAACTACTTAAGTACATCCAGAATAATACACAAGCACCAAGAAATGACCTCGAAAACCCATAAGTGGCGAGTAATTAGCATTGCAAAAGTAATTAAAATATTCTAAAAATCATTTAAACATTTTCTAAAAGCCATTTGAACAAGTTATAATCAAGATATCAAATTCTGGTTAACAGATCCTTAAGCAGCACATTCAGGAGTACCTATACTGAAATTTTGAACAAAATCCATTTTTTGGCCGAAATGAAGAAATTGTAAGTCTATAGCCTTAAAGGATTTTTGACCAAAAATACGTTTTCTCTCTGAACTAAAATTTAATGTGCCTAACTATTTAAGTACATCCAGAATAATACACAGCACCAAGAAATGACCTCGAAAAACCCATAAGTGGCGAGTAATTAGCATTGCAAAAGTAATTAAAAATATTCTAAAAAATCATTTGAACATTTTCTGTGCCATTTGGAACATATAATCAAGATATCAAATTTTGGTTAACAGATACTTAAGCAGCACATTCAGGAGTACCTATACTGAAATTTTGAACAAAATCCATTTTTTGGCCGAAAATGACAAAAATTGTAAGTCTTATGCCTTAAAGGATTTTTGGCCAAAAATACTTTTTCTCTCTGAACTAAAATTTAATGTGCCTAACTACTTAAGTACATCCAGAATAATACACAAGCACCAAGAAATGACCTCGAAAACCCATAAGTGGCGAGTAATTAGCATTGCAAAAGTAATTAAAATATTCTAAAAATCATTTGAACATTTTCTAAAGCCATTTGAACAAGTTATAATCAAGATATCAAATGTTGGTTAACAGATCCTTAAGCAGCACATTCAGGAGTACCTATACTGAAATTTTGAACAAAATCCATTTTTTGGCCGAAATGACGAAAATTGTAAGTCTAAAAGCCTTAAAGGATATTTGGCCAAAAATACTTTTTTCTCTGAACTAAAATTTAATGTGCCTAACTATTTAAGTACATCCAGAATAATACACAAGCACCAAGAAATGACCTCGAAAACCCATAAGTGGCGAGTAATTAGCATTGTAAAAGTAATTAAAATATTCTAAAAATCATTTGAACATTTTCTAAAAGCCATTTGAACAAGTTATAATCAAGATATCAAATTTTGGTTAACAGATCCTTAAGCAGCACATTCAGGAGTACCTATACTGAAATTTTGAACAAAATCCATTTTTGGCCGAAATGACGAAAATTGTAAGTCTATAGCCTTAAAGGATTTTTTACCAAAAATACGTTTTCTCTCTGAACTAAAATTTAATGTGCCTAACTATTTAAGTACATCCAGAATAATACACAAGCACCAAGAAATGACCTCGAAAACCCATAAGTGGCGAGTAATTAGCATTGCAAAAGTAATTAAAATATTCTAAAAATCATTTGAACATTTTCTAAAAGCCATTTGAACAAGTTATAATCAAGATATCAAATTTTGGTTAACAGATCCTTAAGCAGCACATTCAGGAGTACCTATACTGAAATTTTGAACAAAATCCATTTTTTGGCCGAAATGACAAAAAATTGTAAGTCTAAAAGCCTTAAAGGATTTTTGGCCAAAATACGTTTTTCTCTCTGAACTAAAATTTAATGTGCCTAACTATTTAAGTACATCCAGAATAATACACAAAGCACCAAGAAATGACCTCGAAAACCCATAAGTGGCGAGTAATTAGCATTGCAAAAGTAATTAAAATATTCTAAAAATCATTTGAACATTTTCTAAAAGCCATTTGAACAAGTTATAATCAAGATATCAAATTTTGGTTAACAGATCCTTAAGCAGCACATTCAGGAGTACCTATACTGAAATTTTGAACAAAATCCATTTTTTGGCCGAAATGGCGAAAATTGTAAGTCTAAAGCCTTAAAGGATTTTTGGCCAAAAATACGTTTTCTCTCTGAACTAAAATTTAATGTGCCTAATTATTTAAGTACATCCAGAACAATACACAAGCACCAAGAAATGACCTCGAAAACCCATAAGTGGCGAGTAATTAGCATTGCAAAAGTAATTAAAATATTCTAAAATCATTTGAACATTTTCTAAAAGCCATTTGAACAAGTTATAATCAAGATATCAAATTTTGGTTAACAGATCCTTAAGCAGCACATTCAGGAGTACCTATACTGAAATTTTGAACAAAATCCATTTTTGGCCGAAAATGAGAAAAATTGTAAGTCTATAGCCTTAAAGGATTTTTGGCCAAAAATACGTTTTTTCTCTGAACTAAAATTTAATGTGCCTAACTATTTAAGTACATCCAGAATAATACACAAGCACCAAGAAATGACCTCGAAAACCCATAAGTGGCGAGTAATTAGCATTGCAAAAGTAATTAAAATATTCTAAAAATCATTTAATCAAATATTTGAACAGATATCAACATAATTACATCCTTACAGCAATATTCAGGAGTACCT